TTTATCAACAGAGTTAGAGATAATTTGCATATTGTATTGTGCTTCTCACCAGTTAGTGAGAAGTTCAGAAGCAGAGCTTTGAAGTTCCCTGCTCTTATCAGTGGATGTTCTGTAAATTGGTTCTTCCCATGGCCAGAGGAAGCTTTGACAAGTGTTGCCAAGAAATTCTTGGATGATTATGAAATTCATTGTACACCTGAAGTCAAGAAGAGTTTGATTAAACACATGGCTGCAGTACACAATAAGATTAATGAAGTCGCCTCTGAATACTTCCAAAGATTCAGAAGAGCAGTCCACACAACTCCAAAGTCTTACCTATCATTTATACAGTTGTATAAGGACGTATACAGAGCTAAGTATGCTGAAATTGATAAAGAAGCTAAGAACGTTGCTATGGGTCTCTCTAAACTTCATGAAGCAAAGGAAGATGTTGAAAAGCTTCAAATTGAGTTGAAGATTAAGGAAAAGAAATTGGATGAAGCCAAACTCAAAGCTGAAGAGATCATGAAAGAAGTTTCCGAAAGCAAGACCAAGACATTGGCTAAGAAGACTGAAGTAGAAAAAGAAAAGGATATTATTGAAAAGGAGCATAACTTGGTTGAAATTCAAAAGAAGGAAGCTTTAGCAGATTTAGAAAAAGCTAAACCAGCCCTGGAAAGAGCTGAAAAGGCTGTTGCTTCAATTCAACCAAAAGACATTCAAACTGTCAAGGCCTATACAGTTCCTGCTCAAGCCATTAAAACCGTATTTGATGGTGTTCTCATCTTGAGACAATTCCCAATCAATGATGTTAAAATTATTAATGACGAAAAATTGGGTGCCATAATTGAAGACTCATATTCTAACGCTCAAAAGATGACTGCTGACGCTGGTTTCTTGAAAGGTATCCAACAATTTAAGCAAGATGAAATTACAGATGAAACTGTAGAATTGTTGATGCCTTATATTAATTACTCATTCTTTACATATGATATCATCAAATCATCAAGTTCAGCTGCTTCAAATTTGTGTACTTGGGTTCGTGCTATGGCTGAATATCACAACGTAGAAAAGGAAGTTAGACCAAAGAGAGAAAGACTTAGAGAAGCTGAAGAAACTCTTGCTATCGCTACTGCACAACTGAATAAGAAGATGGAAGAATTGAATAAGGTCATCGCTGAATTTGAAGAAAAGCAAAGAGTTTTCGAAGAAGAAACAAGAAAAAAGGAACTTCTCGAAGAAGATGCTGAAAAGACAAGAAAGTTCATGGAACAAGCAACCAGTCTTATTTCATCTCTTGGCGGAGAAAGTGAAAGATGGGGTATTCAATCCAAACAATTCTCTGATAGATTGAGAAAGTTAACTGGTGATGTTGCACTCGCTTGTGCTTTTATTTCTTACTGTGGACCTTTTAACAGTGAATTCCGTAAGATTTTGCTCTCCAAATGTTTCTATGCTGATTGTAAAGAAAAAGATATTCCTGTAACAGAAGAAGATAAAAATGAAAAGAAGGATAAGATTGTAGATTTGTTGACTACTGAAGCTCAAATAGGTGCATGGAATCTTGAAGGCTTACCAACTGACTCCCACTCAATTCAAAATGCTATCATGTTGACAAAGTCCTCTAAGTGGGCTTTGTTGGTTGATCCTCAAGGACAAGGTTTAGCCTGGTTGAAGAAGAAGTTTGAAAAACAAGGTCTCTTAATTGTTAGATTGACTGACAAGTACTTCCGTAATCAACTTGAAGATGCCATTTCAAATGGTCGTCCACTTATCATTGAAAATGTGGAAGAAGAAATTGATCCTATGCTTGATCCTCTATTGGAAAAGTCATTCGTTATGACTGGTAAACAAAAGCAAATCATCATTCAAGATAAGGCTATTGATTACGATGATGGATTCAAGTTGTTCTTGACAACAAAGATTGCCAATCCTAACTTTACTCCTGAGTTGTTTGCTAAGTGCAACATTATTGACTTTACAGTTACCATGAAAGGGTTGGAACAACAGCTTTTGGGTTATGTTATCCAACAAGAAAAGGCTGAACTGGAAGAACAAAGAGAAAAGATTTTGGAAGATATTAACGGTAACCAACAAGTCATGGCTGATCTTGAAGCCCAATTGTTGTCAAAACTTTCTGAAGAATCAGACAAGTCTCTTATTGAAGATGAAGTATTGATTGCTGTATTAGCCCAAACAAAGAAGCAAGCAGCTGAAATTAAGGAAAAGCTTGTAAATGCAAAAGATACTGAGGAAAGAATCAATAAGGCTAGAATGGAATATGAAGATGTTGCTATCAGAGGTTCTGTTCTCTATTTCTTGATTGTTGAAATGTCATTGGTCAATCCTATGTACCAAACTTCATTGAATCAATTCTTGATTCTCTTTGATAGAGGTATTAAGACTGCAGCTCCTGCTCCTGTTGCCTCTCAAAGAATTATTAATATTAAGGAATCATGTACCTTCATTATTTACAGATACACAAGCAGAGGTCTTTTCAAGAGACACAAGTTCTTATTCTTACTATTGCTCACTTGTAAGATTCAATTAAGAGAAGGAAAATTAGACTTTGAACAATTCAGTACTCTATTAAGAGGAGGTTCTTTGCTTGACTTGTCTAAAGTTAGACAAAAGGTTGACTGGTTACCTGATGTTAACTGGTTGAATGTAATGAGCTTGTTCTCTATTGAAACATTCAAACAATTGCCAGAAAAAATGCACAAGAATGACAAGTTATGGAAGAAGTTCTATGACGAAGAAAAGCCTGAAGAAACAAAGGTCCCAGAATATAGTAACCTGACAGATTTTGAAAAATTGTTACTTATTCGTTCATTGAGAGAAGACAGAACCATCCTTGCTGCTATGCAATATATTAGATCAGCACTTGGCCAAAAGTACTTAGACGTTGTACCTATCAACTTGGATAACGTCTGGAAGGAAAGTGATAACAAGACGCCATTTGTTTGTTTGTTGAGTCCTGGTTCTGATCCAACTTCAGCAATTGAAGGCTTGGCCAGACACCACAAGAAGGATGTGTTAGCCATTTCTATGGGTCAAGGGCAGGAACCAAGAGCTACAGAATATATTCAAACTGGTTTCTCCACTGGTAGTTGGGTATTATTACAAAACTGTCACTTGGGTTTGAAATTTATCAGTCTTATTGAAGATATGATTAAGAATGCTGAAAATATACATCCAGACTTTAGAATTTGGGTTACTAGCGAACCTCATCCAAAATTCCCAATTGGCTTACTTCAAACATCTATTAAGCTTACTCTTGAAGGCGATGTTGGTGTGAAGGCAGGTATGAAGAACGCCTTTGAATGGGTCACACAAGATATGTTAGATGCATCAAAGAGACCAGAATGGAAACCACTCATTTACACAATGTGTTTCTTGAGCTCTGTTGTTTCTGAAAGAAAGAAGTTTGGTTACTTGGGATGGAATATTCCTTATGAATTCAACTTTGCTGACTTGAGTGCTTCCTTAATGTTCATGCAAAATCACTTTGCTTCAATAGGTGATGATATCAAGAAGGGATCCATCAGTTGGCCAACTATTAGATACATGATTTGCGATGTACACTATGGTGGTAAGATTACTGACGAAAGAGACAGACAACTATTCAAGACCTATGGTGAAAAGTGGTTATCTCCTGATGTTGCAAAGGTTGAATTTAAATTTTATGATGGTTACACAATTCCTTTCGTTAGTGCTGAAAAAGTTATCACTGAAGTAGATAAGGAACAATTTGTCGAATTTATTGAAAAGCAAATTCCTCAAATTGATAACCCTGAAGTATTTGGCTTGCACCCTAATGCTGATATTAACTACAGAACTGATGAATCAAAGTCAGTATTGTCAACAATCCTCGATGTTCAACCAAAGGAAAGTGCTGGTGGCGCCGGAGAAACAAGAGAAGATAACGTTTTCAAGAAGGCTGATGAATTTTTGAAGGGACTTCCACCAGATTTCAAACGTGATATGGTTGATTCTGAAATTAAGAAGCAAGGTGGTTTTGATAGAAATTCATTGAACGTTTTCCTTAGTCAAGAAATTGATAGATTGCAAAAGCTTATTGGTATGGTAAGAGCCGATCTTACCAATTTAAAGCTGGCCATTGATGGTGCTATCATCATGAGTGCTGGTTTATCTGATATTTTGAATAATATTTACGATGGTAGAGTTCCAGATATTTGGAAGAAATTCTCTTGGGAGTCCCAAACTATTGGTTTGTGGTTCAATGAACTTGATACCAGACATGACCAATTATTCAAGTGGCTCACTGAAGGAAGACCAAACTCATTCAAATTAACAGGATTCTACAATCCACAAGGTTTCTTGACAGCTGTACAACAAGAAGTAGCTAGAGCCAGAGGTTGGGCTCTTGATGATGTCGTACTCAAGACTGAAGTTACCAAGATGGAAGAAAAAGATGTAATTGAACCTCCAAGTGAAGGTGTTTACATCCATGGTTTATCTTTGGAAGGTGCTGGTTGGGATAAGGCTTCAGCAAGACTCACTGAATCTCTACCAAAAATCCTCACTTGCAAATTACCTGTTATTCACATTTCTGCCTTTGCTAAGGATTCAAATGTTGCTGCTGCTAATGATAAGAATAAGGAAAAAGAAAAGAAGAAGAACTCTTACACATGCCCAGTGTATAGAAATAAGAATCGTAGTGACTTGACCTTTATCTTCAATGTTGAACTTAATTGTTTGGAAGATAAATCAAAGTGGAAGTTGAGAGGTGTTGCCCTTCTCGGCAGCACGCAGTAAATGAATTGTTTGTAAATAAATTAACAATTGAAGTATATCTCTTCATTATTTGATCAAAAGTGCGAACCTATTTACTTTTTCAAAGCCAATTTCCTATATTACTACCTTAACGCCGGTTCATAGTGTCTTTCTGAATAAAAAGAAAAAAAAATGAAAAGATCTCCTAACAACACGCCAATAAGATTTATTACACCTTCACTAACAACCTCTGACATTTCCTCTGAGGGTAAGCATTTTTGATCATGATTATTTATAAACTGCTTCTACTCCTCAACACAGAAAGGATTCTTTTTCATCAAACATTTCGTCTTTTTGATAAGGATGGAGATGGATACATAGGAAAAGACGAATTATTAAATACATTACGCGCTCTGGGTCATGAAGTCACAATGAATGATATGGATGATATCATGTCTGAAATACAAACACACAAGAAGGGTGTAATATCTTTTGATGAATTCTGTACAATAATGAAAGCACCAACAATGGATACTATGAAAACCTTACCTACAAGAAGAAAGAGTGTGGTATCACCATCATACTACCCTTTGTCTACAAAACGAAATTCCCTTGCCCCTGAATTCCCACCATCAACCTCAAGAAGACATTCCCTTGCAGAAGAGGCTGCAAGTAAACCTTCTTCGCAACAATCTAGCACCTTATCCTTCAAAGGCCTATTTTCTTCAAAAAAGAACCTTGTGCCAACAAGTCCAACATCTCCCCTACCAATTTCAAGAAGTAAATCACCAACAAATGGTTCACGACTTAATTCCGATAAGCTACCTCCAATCAAGAAGGGAGGTAATGAAACACCAATTCAATTTTCTGACCAAGCAAGTGCTGAGGATATGAGAGGAGTGTTTGACATGTTTGACTTGAATAAGGATGGTTTCTTGTCTGTGAATGAATTCAAGTCTGTCTCATCAAAGTTGGGTATAGGCATTGTCATGGAAGATAACGAGATTCGACAATTATTTAACCTTGTAGATACTAATAAGGATGGTTTAATATCATACGATGAATTTGTAAGATTATTTAACATTTCTTAATAAAGACTTTAATTATTTGCTGCTGAGTGCATATCATTGTAAATGAAAATGAGAGTGTTACTATGACCAATCATAAAACTCATCCAAAATACTACATTACCAATTTGTTTTCCTCTCAAGTATTTCTTTGTTACGAATGACAATGGCATTTGTACCATCATTGCCATAAATGCCAAACCATAAACCTTATGGAAAGGTACTGAAATGATAAGTTCATGGAATATAGCACTCACAAAGAATACACAAAAGCTGGCAATAGATGCACTAACACCATTATTTACAAGTGGAAGGTAAATGTGCAATACCATCCATTTGTGAACTGGTAAATTCCATGTTCTCCAGAAATAGGATAGATCTGTACAATTCCACCAATCAAGATAAAATAATCTGTCTCCAAAACATAGGATCTCACCTACAATATTCAAAGCTAAATGGAAAACAATATAAAATCCAACAATCCAAATAACAATATTAGGAACTGTCAATTTGAGGAGTCTTTCGAATAAACGTAACATGTCCTTTTCTCTCATTGGCTCAACTGAGTGTTCAACAAGAGGCATAACGTATTGTTCAACTAAGAAGATTAAAATGAAGGAGCAAGCCAAAAGTTCCAAGCAATCAAATAAAAGAACCTTGAATCTAATAGACTTGGTTCTAGGGAAGCATTCTTCATAGACAAGTGTTGGTGTAAACATAAAATAGAAAATATCATAGAGTGAAATATTGTCTGGATATTGTTTGTACCAAGAAATTCCAGTAGCAGTGGCAACAGTGTCAATTGTTTTCAATTTTTGTGCCTTTCTTTCCCACATTCTTTCTCTCAAATGGTCATTTACCACACCATATGATGTCATCTTTAAGAATACAATAGTTCCCAAGGTCAATAACATCATACCAGCAACTGGATGTGGATTAAAAAGCCATACAAATGATATAGTGGCTCCCAATAATGTAGTGTCCAACACAAAGTAACAACAGAATGAGAAAAAGCTTGCATTCTTCAAAATATGACTCCATAAAGCTTTTCTCTTGCTTACTTGATGATCTTTCTTTGTTAACAATTGACTGAACTTGTTTCTAATATAAATTGCAATAACTTTTTCAACTGCAAAAGCCAAAACAATCCAAATAATCAAAGATGCAAACATGAGAATGACTTCCCATCCATTTGATGGATCTTTCAAGAAAGCAGCTACATATTCATGGGTATTCAACAAGATACCATACTTGTTGAAATTAATTAACATTAAACGTAAGTGACTCACTATTAAATTGTTTAACAAAATATAATAATAATATTAGAAACATACCAACAAGTATGATGATGGCCAAATTCAAGAAACCTCTATACGAATTAAGTTTATCCGAGTCTCTAGCCAGAATAGAAGGTCTAGTTATGCAAACTAGTCTATTGGTTTGACTGACAGTCTCACTATGCTTCGTAGGGGTTGCAACAGTAGTTGGAATTTTAGGTGTTTTCAAAAGTGATACACCATTGCCATATGTCTTTTTTGATGGAATATAATTTTCACTTTCGGATTGACTGGCATCTGATTGAACCAAATCAAACTCTTCTCTTTCTTGTTGTTTTAAATTTTTATAGGCTTTTCTGAGACTTGTAGACCTTAAAATATTAAATCTTGTTGTTGGATCCTTGTTATCACTGCCTGATGAAAGATCTGAATCAGAATCATCAACATTTTTACTAAATTTCTTATCAATTGCATTATTTGTTGATTCCGATGATGGTTGATCAACATTTTCCTTCTTATTAGTGTTCAAGGCAGCATCTTCTTTTGGCACTGTTGTATTTTGTTGGTGGTCACCAGATGATGATGGCTTGTTTGATGCTGCAATCATCTCTATTTTTTTATTGTTGATTTTCCTATTGACCAATGGATGCGCAACAATGATAGAGAGGGTTTTTCAATGTAATGTCCTACAAAGATCCTTTTTTAATATTTACCTTCTCTTCACTAACAAATCAATGTGACAAGGAGAGATGTACCAACAAATTTTTTTTCCGTGGTTTGTTGCGAAAGTGATTGAGGAATGGATAAGAACACAATTAATGTAACAATTGAGATTACACGATATAATGTAAGATATCAACATGAATGGCTACGAGATTCGAGAGATTTCAATATCAACATTAAAGATAGTAGGCACTTTTTTAAGCAAATAAGGAAGTGAGACAATTTTCCACTGCCTTTTAAAGTAAATTAAAATAAATATTTAAAAATGTTATTGAGTCTTCCATTTTGCTAACAATGCAGATTCTGATTCATTGAGCGGCTCATGTGTATGTTGAATGAGTTCCAAATTATCCTTTTCACTTTCAAAAGCTTTACCAAAATCAACCATTAACATTGGATTTGCTCCTGGAGTTGCTCCCATTTGTCCCATAGTAAGTGGATTTGAATTGGCCATTAATTGAGCTTCATCAGCAACATTTTCACCTAACAACAATGAAAGAACACCCTTCACACCAAATAAAATCAAAAAGTACATGGAAGCACTGGTAACATAGGAAGTTTCAAGACTTTGAAGTTCAATACCTCTTTGAACCATTGCTCGGAAACGATCAGAAAGAGGGAATGGGAATTTAGCAATAACAAATCCAGCATAGAAGAAATAAATCCAACCAAACATGACCAAGTTAGGAACCATGGTTTGAACATTGTTCTTCATCATTTCAGTCATATTATTAGGATCAGCCATGGCGGTCAAAGGATTATTTTCAATCTTTTTCCGAAACTCGCCATCCTTTTCTCTATTGAAAAAGGCCTTCCTTGTCAAGAAGGATTGAAGAGGAATAAAGTTAAAATTACGTCCAAGTATTTGTCCTTTTGTTAAAGTTTGGAAATGAGTAAATTTATCAACTGGTGGTTCCTTGTTACTCTTGAAATATATTGATGCATAATGTCTCAAAATACTAAATAACAAAATAAAAGCGACAATTGGCAATAAGACCCAATCTCTGATGGCAGAGTCGATCACCAATGTCGAAGGATGATGAAGAATAAAGGACATTTTTTTAATTTAATTTTAAAAATAATATTATTTTACTTTTAGATAGATTGTGATGATGTTGTTACTTGGATATCTTGGAAAAGAAAATCAATGATTCAAGTTAAATTATAATCTAAACAATTATTTAATTAAATTGATACTACTTGGTATATATTACAATACTACGTTACAAAATATTGCTACATTTCTTACAAAATTTTCATAGTTGTTTCATAAGCTAAAAATGTTACAGCATTAAGAGGAAAAGCTCTTACAATAGATGAATTTAAACCTCTGAAAAATACCATATATCCTTCAGCCTTATAACTCTTCACACAACAGTCAATAAATCCCTTGTATTTATCGTGACCTGGATGTGGAGGATCTGGTAATGCTTGGATACGTGACTTTATAGCATCAGACCAATATGAAAGGTACCAACATCCTATTCCTGCAAAACCACCACTTAAAAATAGAGCTAATGGACTTTCACCATATAATTCTTTCAGATATTCATACATTACAAAGTATGCACCATAACTTGGTACATCTCTAACCATTGTACTATTTAAACCTTTAAATATACCTCTAATTCCTCCAGATCTCCATGTTTTCATAAAGCAATCAGTTGGTCCACTGTAAGCTCTATGAGTAAGGTCAGATTTAGCTTGATCTTGAATTTGCAATCTTGTTTTTATCAATTCAAGAGGGCTACAAATTGGTGTATTCACAAGACCAGCAAGTGAACCAGCCATAAAAACATCGCCATAATAAAGGTAATCACTTGTAATAACACCTCTATTTCTTCCACGATAATCATCCAAAGCTCTCATTGTGTTTCCGTAAACTCCGAAAATAATAGAATTTAATATTCCAACTCCTAGTAAAGGGGATGACAGTCCTTTATAAAGACCATTAATACCTTCGTTTTTCATTATTCTATACAATGTACTAAATATTGTTCCGTTATATTTGTGTGGTTGTGTTTGAATACGAACTATTTTGATGAATAATAATATTTTGATAAATACTTACCTTTCAGCGTATCAAAAGGATGTCCAGCAAGGATACCACACATTCCTCCTACATTACCTGCAACAAAGTCTTTCCAAAAAGGCATTGCTTCAAAGGAAGCTTGGTGAGGATGGTGTGATTCATCTATTTGTGAGTTTAATGTATTAACTTCTAAGAGTGGGTCAGAGTTGATGAAAGCTGCTGAAGATTCATCCGATGATTGAAACACAGAAGTGTTGTTATTTACATTTTGGCCAATAACATTAATGGATCCTTCTTTTTCTTGATTAATTTTGTGCATATCTTTTCCCATTTCATACACATTGGTGTAATAATTAATTCGTTAGTAGCAATTATATAGCGTAAGTTTTAGGAGCTCTTGATAATTGCTATGAAACTTTTAAAAGCAATTTTTAAAATTTAATATATGATGATGATGATAACAAATAATCCAAAATTTGAAAAGACCTCTTTGAAAAACCTTTGATCAACAGAAAATAAGTATCTTCCCAATATCTCTCTCTGGAGGATGAATTTATTTTTTTTTAATATGGTGGTGAACCAACTCCGACAAGCAAGGACGGAGCACATGATGACGATCCTTCACCAGGATTATCATTGTAAACTCTCTATCAGTGTCTGATTAATTCCGCTCAATAATGGCTGCGAATAGTTTGAATATTCCCTTCTATAAAGTACCTTATCTAATGGCTCTGCTAATTATTACATTGTCGTTATCAAAAATTGCATTTCTTTTGAAGTATTTCTATGCAAATACAAATTAGGATAGAAACAATTTTTAGAAATTTTCAATTTAGAATAAATTGCTCTAATGTTGGACTCGCTTGTCTTTTCGATTGGAAGATATCTCAAAACTCAACGAGAGGTCTTCATTCCAATAGCAATAAATTGATTTCTTTCATTATTTGCAGCCCGTGAGTTAAACAATCAAATAACTAGGGTTTAAGAATAACAGTGACAACCCAATAAATGGTATATAAGTAGTTTAGAACTCAAGAAGTTGTCATAATCTAATTGCCAAAGTGGAAAGGAAATTAACTGGTGGTGAATGAGAAAGAAGGGAATTTGTATTCGGACATGTTCCCCTCAATCCTTACCCGCCAATTTCGTTCTTTAAACTTTCAAACAGCTAACTTTTCATGGAAAGAAAACCCATTTTCCACAAAACAAAAAAAACATCAACTTTTTTAACTCAACATTCCATAGAAGATAAACTGTGTGTTTCAAAAACAAGTCATCATCATCATTATCACAGCAATATATAAATAACAAAATTAAAAAATGTTTCTGGTTTGGGTTGGAGTTGGCCTATTGTGTTATTGGGTCTATTACAAGTACTTTATTTGTGAAAAGGTTAAATTATATTATGATAGTAATAATTCGGATATTGAATATTTAGTAAAACATACATACAATTTGAGGAGTGAATTTTGTCCAACACCCTATTTAACAAATGAACATTTACAAACAATTTTCAACGTTGCTTTTAGACCTGATATTAATTGGTTTTCATATGATTCGGAAGATTTTACTTTTAGTTGTGGTGGAAGAATTATTCTTGACTGGGTTCATGATAATCGTCCAATTGAGGAACAACACAAGGAAAATGAAATTACAGATGAATCACCAATTATGATTGTTTTTGCTGGAGTTTGTGGTGGAAGCAAGGAAATTGAAATTAAACATTTTGTCTCAAATGCTGTTAGGGATGCCTGTATGAGAGCTGTGGTTGTTAATTACAGAGGTGCCCAAACTGGTCTCAATACACCAATATTTGGACTCACAACTGAGGATATGGGAATAGTTCTTCGTCACATCAAATCAAAATATCCAAAATCAAAGGCCATGATTGGGTGTGGTTTTAGTTTGGGTTCAAATATCATGACTAAATATTTGGGAGAAGTTGGCTCAGATACACCAATTGATTTTGCTATTGCAGTTTCAAATCCATTCGAATTGGGAAGATCATCTGAAAGACTCAGGACTGAATTTATTAATAATTTAATTTATGACAAGGTATTTACAAAGAAGAGAAAGGAATTGATTCTTGCTCACGAACATCTCTATGAAAATACTCCTGTAAAAATTGACCAAGTTAAACGAGTTAGCTCAACAATGGAATTTGATGATGCTGTCTCTAAAGTGTTGCTTGGCGGTGATTCGTTATCTGGATTTTACCAACAATGCAGCTGCTCTGATGATGTAGCTCATGTTAAAGTTCCTATACTTTTCTTGTCTTCTTTAGACGATCCAATATCATGTAAGGGTGTAATTCCTTACTCTAACTTTGCTAAAAATTCTAACACTATTTTAGCTACAACCAAAAGAGGTGGTCACGTTGCTTGGTTAGATGGTATGGCACCTTACAAAGCTCTTCCTTCTTGGATGGAAAGAACGTGTGTTCAGTTTGCAAAGGCATGTGTTGCACTCAAAGAAAAGAAAGGTCAATAAAGTGTTTTATTGCTTTAGCTGGAAAGAATTTGTTACAATGTCTGACAAGGTATTGAAATCCAAGTTTTTCTGTTCTTCTTTCTCTTTCTTTTTTGGAAGGTAAACTTCTTTCAACCATTTAGCAGTTCTTACTGGTTTGAAATTATCTTGATCTTTGATGTACTTTTTAATGTATGGATGGTTCAATAATTGTTTGGCAGAAGGTCTATTGATTGGTTCCTCTTCCATACATTTGTGAATAAAATCAAAGAATTCATCAGAAACCTCACCAGGTTTGATTGTCACAACCTCTGGATTGGATTGTACGTGTTTCAATAATGTCCAAACTGATACTTCAGCACCTTTGGTAAATGGAAGTCCTCCTATTGCACATTCTGCTATTAAAACACCAACACTCCAAATATCACTGTCAACACTATGTGTTAATCCCTTCAATCTCTCAGGAGACATGTAGTAAAAAGTTCCTTGGAAAGTCTTAAAGTCTTTGGATTTCAAGTTTTGATTTGACATGCCAAAATCGGTGAGTTTAGTCACACCATTCTTATTTAACAATACATTAGCTGGTTTGATATCTCTGTGAATAACACCTTTTTCAGCTAGATAGGCGAGAGCTTTGAGAATTTGGAAAGAAATTTCACTTAATACATCTTCTGGAATGCTACCAGTAGTTCTATAAATGTCATCAAGAGCTCCACAATTCATATATTCCATCAAAATACGGATAGATCCTTCTCTGTGATAGGCTTCATAAAATTTAACAATATTATCACACTGTACAGAGTCACAAAGTGACTTGATTTCCGATAAAATTTGTTTTGGTGTTACATTTTCAGCATAAATATCAATAACTTTGAGTGCAAATTGTTGAGTCTTGTCGTTTTTCAAATGTGCTCTATATACTTTTCCACTTGCACCTTCTCCCAATTTTGTTTTATAAATCTTCAAATCCTCGTAGGCAATTTTCTTTGAACCTCTGGTCACTTCTCCAATTGGAGAAAAGGCTTCACTAGTTCCTGACAGTGGTGTTATTGATGAACTGCTATTGGCACTATGAAGTTCTGATACTGATAGATTTTCACTCGAACTTGGTGTTGTAGTTGCAGAATCCAATTTTTCAGAAATCAATCCTCCTCTTCCAATCAAAATATCCTCTGCTTTCCAGGTACCGCTATGTGATCTGAATAATAATTACAAAAATGTAAAACTAACTTGATTGAAATAACTATATACTTACACTGTAAACTCGTTTGCTAATTTTGTTTTAACTGGTACTTCCAATTTCAACATAGGACCTTTCTTCTTTTTTACGTCAGATGTACCTTTCCTAGACATACGAAGTGGTGTTACTTGTACACTTGTTGTTGTATTATTAGCAATATTATTAAAATTATCGGCTATAGATGATGAAGGAGAAGAAACGCTCGAGGAAGGTCTCTTGTCATTCAAACTCAAATTAGACAAAAGTCTAACAGGAATTGGACTTGAAGATGATGTTGGAAGTGTTCCGATAGTACTAATAACTTTACCAGGTTGTACAATGGCAGCAGATTGTTCATCAAGTAGGAAGGATGGAATTTCATCTCCCATTCCTGCAGGATCTTCTTCTGGATATTGATCTGAAGATGGTGCTGTTATAGATAAACCTAATTGTCTTGATTTAACTTTTTTAGTTTTTAGAGATGATGGAGTCTTGGATAAAAGTAAATTTGTTGTTGTTGTTGTTGTTGATGGTGATGGATCTTGTTGGTTCATGAATGTAGAGTCTCTCGTTAATCCAACATCAGACGATGATGTCGCTGGAATTTCAAAAGGATTATCTTGTGGCATATTTTTTGTGATGATGTTGTTTTCCTAATTCCTTTCATCACCATTCTCCAGTGATAGAAGGAATACAAAAGACAAGTTAGATAAGCATGTGTTTCATCATGATCATCCAATAAAAAACAATAATATTATTATTAATTTTATAAGAAGATGATTAGGAGATTTTCATTTTGAACCGTTACTTGAGTTCTTTGTTCAAAGGAAAGAGGATAATTTACAGTTTTGGCAGTGGAAATCTTAAAGTTGAGGACAAGATGAATGGCCAGTAGACACTCATTGGTTCAAATGGCTTGTTGCTTACATAGGTTTCATTAAACTTCTTCCAACATCCAATGATTGAATTGTTGTCTTGGTTTTTAATGGAAAGTAGAAAGAGAATGTAATATCCGAGTGCGTATGATTTGGCAGAGATGAGATATTTGGAACAGATTATTTGGGCTAGTTCTAATTGCTGTGAAGAGATTAATAAGGAAACAAGTTTTTGGAAGGTAAGGAGTGGGAGATAAACTTCCTTGTCGAGTTCACTTGTTTTGAAAATTAGTTCACAGTATTTACATAATTCTATAATAGACTTTTTGTGAAATGATATAAGAGAAAGAGATAGGAAACATATTGGATGTTCCTGAGCTATCACATGTTTGGCATGAGTTTTTCGTTCCTGTTTCTCTCTTTCTTTTTCTTCCAGTATGAGATTTAATTGCTTCTGGTAGTCTGTTGTGTCTGAAATCTTACTATTATCCACAATAATTCTATACATGACATATCGTGAGGCATTTTGAAAAAGGCCCAATCTACAATAATTGATTGCTATTTTTCTATGTAGAGATTGTAAAATATTTAGAGCTGATCCATCACTTTTTCTTTGAGATTGACTAGATCCAAAATTAGTATCGAGTTAAATTTCAATAACTTACTCAAATCTGATTTTAAGCAGGCATTCCTCAGCTTTTAGGAAAAAGTCTAAACTCTTTTCAAAATCTTTTTCCAAATAAATAATACAACCCAAACGTATTGCTATACTCGCTTTGTTATAATTGATTGTATATGGAGACAGTTCTATAAATGTCTTATTTTGAAGTAGGTTATTCTTCTCAAATCCAATAAAGGCTTTGTGATAGAAAATTTTTGCAAGATGTATATTATTTCCATTCTCCTTATAATCCTTAAAGAAAAGCTCTGCCAACTTGATAAAAACAAATGAAATCGTTACAAAGGGATGGTTCATATTTGGATGATCAGAAAAATATTTGCTACATTTAAGATATGATTCTACAGCCCACACATCCAAATCCATTGATTCCATTACCTCGCCTAACCACATATAAATGGCAGAATAAAGTATTGTATTATTTGTTTTATCGAAAGGCAGACTATTCACTAATTTTCTAAAATAACAAGCACACGAATCTAGCTTGAAGTTTATCCTCAAAACATGTCCTAATAATAAATAAAAATAATTTAGAATTAGTTTAGACTCTAATTTTTCTAATGCTATTATGATATTCAATAGACATGTTTCAGCCTTTTCATATTCTTTAGTTCTCAAATATAAAAATGTTAAAGACATGTCAATCAGTATCCCATCCTCCGCGTGATTCTCTTTCATATCAAATAAAATTGTTTTCCAAATACTCTCTTGGACTCTAGTTTCAATAAATACATCATCTTGATTTGGTTTTGTTTTTTTCACATGTAATTCAAATAAATTCTGAATTACTTCAAGGAAATTATCAATTAATAATGATTTAAAATTTTTAGAAATGAAGGAGAGTGCCTGTTCAATAATCCACTTTTTAAATTCATGATCCGATCTAATAATCGAAAGAATTTGATTTAAAATTATTTCTAAATCTCTTCTAGAAGATGAAGATGGTATAGCATAATTCGGGAGGACATCACTCTCACATTCAAATCGTAATTCCTCCTTTTCTAATTCATCAAGTGAAGGTTTTTCTGGTACTTGAAAGTCTTGATCCTTTAAAAACTTGGCTTCCTCCCATCTCTTAATTTTTGTTATTCCTTCTTTATATTGTTCATGATGAAGAGCAAGGTTAGAACACAACTCATCCAATTCATAATTAATTTTCCCATCAATTAAAATATGTTGCTCCATATTTATGTTTGCATTTTTTTTATTGTAATCTGGAAGCATAGTCGAAGAATTGTGTAAGAACCATTTTGAATTGTTGATTATTTTCATTCTCGTCAAATGTATAGGTTTGAGCTACTCGTTGAATCAGTTCCAATATTTCCTTAGTTAGGTATTTGTTATGATTAGCTGTTGTCAGGTTGATTATAGTATAGACAGTCTCACGCACCAATTCGCTATTGTTCGAAATATCAGAATTGATGGCTATTTTGAGAGTATCTATTACAATATTAAGAAGGTGATATTGTTGAATGAGAATCTCATTGATTTCCTCATACGAAGATATATTTCCCATCATGTAGCACCATTCCTTGTTTTTATCTGGAATGTTAGACAACAAGTTCATTAATTCTAAAGATAAGTTCTGATCCAATGCTGAAAATAAGTTGTAAGAGCAAAATATATTTCCAATAATCCGTATAATTGGTGTTATAAATTCTTGTTTTTGTGGGGTTAAATATTTGATAAATATTTGAACAAAATTTGTAGAGTTGCTCATGTCAGTGAGAGGATAAGCAGTTAAATAGCTTAACACATATAACAAATCTGAAATGTTTCCATCATCACTCAAATTTCTTTTCAGTAATTGGTAAATTATTGGTTCATACAGTTGACCAAGACATCCAAATATTTGCTGATTATGTTCTGGTGTATTGTGTTTCATATGTAAAATCTCGTTTCTAATAATATTCGATACGCACCATAAAGTTGTTTTGAGAATTTCTTTGGCTCTACATGTTCTGATAGTATTAGACAGATATTGAATAGCACCATTCTGTATAATAACAGTCGATAGAGGAGTATTATTATAAAATCCCAGAGAAATATTTCCAAGAGCCCATATACACTGTTCTTGTAATACCACATCCAAGAATGAATTTGAAATCAATTGTATCAGAGTAGGAATGCAAAATGAAACACTTTCATCCTTCATAGCAGCTATATTTGTAATGCACCATGCAGATTCCAACTGCAACTCGGAATATTTACAAGTTAAATATTGATGTAATAGATTAATAAATTGATCATTCTTTTCCAAAATATTTGTCAAAGTATCGGGATCACATTTTGACAAGATAATTCTCGATTGTTTCATTGCATTGATTTTTTGAGGAATTGAAGACTCTTGTGAAAGTAAAACATTGCAAAATACTCCAATATTATATACATAATCACTTCCTTGGGTGGCATCATCATTTACAGTGTCGGAAACCTTTCTTCTTTTTAATTGCTCCAATAATTGATTTCTCTTTTGTTTATGTGCTTGTTTTTGCAAGTCAATCCGATTATTTTTCCTCTGTGAATAGGATATTTCACTCTGTGATTTAATAGAAGCATGTTTTCTGCTAGAATTATTACCAGAAAACAATAAATTATTGTCTTGCATTATTTTTTTAAATTTTTATCAAACTTTAAAAAATGGCGCCAAAATGATTGTTAATTTTTACAATAATAATTAATCAATACAACAACAAATCCATAAAAACTTATCACGATAAGATTTACACCACCCTATTTAACAGTTTAATTCATGTAATGGAAAATTGTGTTTGATCCAATGACCTGATTTGGGAGAATGAATGTCAATTAAAATCGATCTGTACTGGAATCCCCTTCACACAATGGATACAAGTGGTACTTGTTATTACATGAATGTAACATAATAGAAAATGAGCGGAAAAAAGACGATTCCAATAAGCTTTCATCAATCTAGGATAGCATAATACTCAACAATCAATAAAAAGAAAACACAAGATATTATGTGGTCTTCAACTTCCTCATCGCCACATCATCATCAAACCAGCAGCACATCTACATTTAAAACAGTGAGCTCTTCATGTCCTGATACTGTCTCTCCACCGGCAGCTTCTTCACTTAACAACAACAAGAGGATTCTCCCAAAAGCCAATAAAATTAAACAATTGGTGGATTCTCTATTAGAACATCAACCTCATCAACATTTATTTATGGATAGGGAGTGGAATGTCATACAAGAGGAGGATGATGCAAATATTGCCAATGTTTTAACATTGGAAACTGATTTGGGGTTCATGCCGTGTCATAATTTGGATGTGGTGAGTGAAAAGTTTGTGCTCAAGATGCATTATCAATCAAACATGGAGATTGATAATGGACGAAACCACACGAAAAACTGTTCTTTGAATGATTTTGATATATTTGGAGTTGCATTCACAGTAGGAGAGATTAGGTTTCAAAATAAGAAAATTAGAATAGCACTTGTTTATAAGGTTGAGAATTTTACATCTATACCATCAAGTTTATTTTCAGTTTTCAATTCGCTATTTACTCAACTACAATTGAAACTTGACATTCAATATTGTATGTTGATAGATGACAGAAACTCGGCGTTTGCAGATGCATGTGGAATGATACCCTCAAGACACAATCTTAACATCATTTCACTTTTGAGTGGATTGAGTGTTACACAAAAACAAAAGTTAAATCCAAGATCTGTAACCAATTTTCAAAGTTACAAGAATTTGATGGAAAATATTTACTCTGGATGCAAACTTGTGGATTTAGAAGGATTGTTTTTCAATGAAAAGTATCTTGGTTGCTTCATTGAGGACAATGTTGGAGTTTGTTTTCAAGTGTGGAATTGTGATAATTTCCTAGTTGTTTTCAACATTACAAATTGTAATAGTTGTGAAATTGCCCTTTCAACAGAACAGTTCGACTGTATTAATCAAATTTTGGTAGAGAAATTCAATGATTATCTTAATATCATGCTGGTTCATTCAGAGGAAGCATTGCCAGTTGAGTGTGATTGTAAAAAGCTTACATTTTTCATTAGAGACAATCAAAAGGTTCAGAATGCTTATGGCATGCAAAATCCATCACAAAAGAAGAATGATGGATTTTGGAATATGATATTTGGTGGGGGAGGCAATACGATGGGATCATTATTAGCAAGTAGAGAGTCATTCATTGAGTCATTTCGTATGAATTTGTTTATTGATCCAAGAGATTTCAAGTTGTGGATTTCACACAAGTGGTCGCAAGATCAGGATTTAGATTTTAATAATTCATACACCATGAGTGATATAAGTCGAGGATCGAGATTGTAATTCAATACAACCTTAATAAACCAAGTTCTTTTTGAATCGTGACAATAAGAGTGATGACAAAATGTAAATGATTTATAAATTGAGTTTACGTGCTTTACGATAGAGACACAAATAAGCAGTATGCCAATCTCCACCACCACTCAATTTCTTGACTTCTTCCTCAGTAACAGCAGTGACATCATCATCGTTAAATTGCAACCATTGTCCAGCATCATTCTTAACCCAAGCAACGTAGTGACCTTCGTTGGCTGCTCTACCCTTGTGAGTAACTACAGCACACAATTCAAACCAACCACTATCATTGACTTGATAAAGTGGTGTCTTGTCAGTTTCTTCAGTCTTTTGCTTCTTGGCTTGTTGTCCCAAATTATTTAATTGTTCTTCCTTCTTCTTTTTCATTTCTTCCTCTCGGTCCAATCTCATCTTTTCTCTTGTTTCCTTCAACTTATTCTTGTATTCATCAGTACACAATTCAAAAGTATCCAAAACAGATGGGAAGGCGACATCTCTCAAAACCTTAGCCTTAACTTGTTGCTTTTGCTTCCAGAAGAAACGAACAAAGTTAACAACCAAATAATTTGGCAATTTGGAAATTCTTTGAGTTTTAGTATATACAGCAGTTTTACCAAGAGTTGGAGATTCTTTTTCCAAAGTACCATCTAAACTCTTTTGTAATCCATAAGGTAAATTGCTTACTTGTTGTGAGATAAAGCATGAAAGTTTCTTCCAAGCTTCCTTTGTGACAGTTGGAGCTTCTTCACATTCTGTACATTGAAGTCTGTAAAAGCAATATAAGTAACAAGTACTTTCGAATATAACTTACTTGACATCAAATTCACCTTCGAATAAATCCTTGACAACATTACGATCACTAGTTTTGAGCATATTTTCCAAAGATCCTAATAAATTAGTAATAAATTCATCAGAGTCTTGTTGAGAATAAAATTCTCCCAATTCAGTACGTTCCTTTTCAGCAAATTGTGGATAAGCCTTTCTGAAAGCTTCTAAAAATGTAATTGGTGAAATAGAATCATTAGCAGTATCCAATCTCTTATACAATGATTTCAATTCAGAGGCAATTTCCTTATCCTTTTCCAACAATTCACTAACAGACGATCCATCAAAATGTTCAATAGCTTCTCTCAATTCTGGAACGTATCTAAAGCTTTCAAGGGCAGAATTCATATAACAAGTATTTCCTAAATTTTCCAAACCAGCTGGATAATATTGCTAAGAGGAAATGAATATTTGTGATCGGAATCAAAATTACTTACCACTTCACCATCACCATTTTCTTTAGCAGTATCTTCGATAAAAACTGTTTTTTCCTTTGGTGGTTCTGGTAATTCATCAGCAGACCCCATCATTCTAACAAGTTGACCAGCCTTAACTTTAACAGCACTCAATTCTTGATTATCTTTCAAGATACCAGCTCCCAAACCCATGATTTTTTGTCTATCAGGATGAACACCAGTTAATTCTTGACATTTCTTCTTGAAATCTAAACCAGTTTTTAAATCCCCAATTTCGACATTGTCAAAAGTTGACTTGTTCCACTTTAAAGTAATTGTTGTAGACATTTATATTATTGTACAATGTATAAAATTGATGACGAATTGAGCAAGCAAAGAGTAATCCTTGATGTTGTATTCTTCCAATTTTTTTGAAGTGATGAAATTAAAAAAAAGCCAACAACTTATTTTAAGAACAACAATCCGAGCAACACCATTTGCTTTGCTTGCAACCTGGATAATGTGTTAGCTGGCTTACAGTGAGTTCTCCATCTACAACACTTCAAGTGATGGATTGAATTAAGATTCTTATTCTTGGTATTCTCTCGTTTTACTAAGAATAGAGCCTTTGATAAGATCTATTATTTGGCGGGTTTAGCTTCCTGATTGTGTGCCCTCGTTATTACGTACCAATAAGATCATTTGTTGAAAGGAAAATTTCAAGAGGTCAGTTTTCAATTGTGTCCAACAACAGTAAAATCAATGCATGCTTATTGAATAACAATCCATCAAGACGTAAAATCAATGGTTAAGATATTTTCAGCTTATGAAAACCTTATTAAGAATCCATAAGGCCCTACTTATTAAATGTCAAGGAGTATTTAACTGGTCTTTTCTAAACCAAGACATTATTGTAATCTCTATTGCTTCATTGACAGCAAGAAGAAACCAATAGATGTAACAACGGAAGAATAAACTCTTCATATTATGAAAATATTCTTCTATTATTGTGGAGTGAATCAAGGAGTTAGGTTTCACAACAACGAATAAGTGATACTTCAAAAAAATGCAACAAACACACAACAATAATCGAGGAGGGAAGAGATCAGTTCTCTCCTCTGCAGTGACGCTCATGATGGCAAGCCTTGTCGTTGTGTTACTCTATTTGAGTCATCAAACAAGAGCTAGCGAAGGAGCCAAATGTGTGGGCTGTACAATAGTTTTCAGATCAATAGAAAGTTATGTCAATTATAAAGAACAACCAATTGAAAAATCTTTGAGTGAATGGTGTTCAATTCTCCCAGATAAACTTTCATCATTTTGCAAAGTTTTCGTTGCAGTTGAAGCTCAAACTTTGATCAAAATGTTCGAAGAAAAACAAACTCCTGATATCATTTGCAGAGAATTAGGACCATGCAAGGAATATCCACAATGTACATTATTCAAACCAGGTCAAACTAAATATAGCTCTAAAAGGACAACAACAAGATTTAGTGGCAAGATTGATTGGATTAAGGAATTCTTTGATATTATTGCTGGACCAATTGTTAAATCATTGAGTGATCACACACCACTTGTTGACATTGATGGTGATACTTACTCTACAGAATTTGCATTCAGAGGATCTGCATGGAGAGGAAAGGATTGTAATGATAACAATGCTGCTATTTATCCTGGAAGAAAGACTTCAAGTTTATCTCCACTTTATGATCATAATTGTAATGGTGTATTTGGTTATGATAAGAGTGGTAAGAGTTATGAAGATATGTTCTGTAATAGTACTCAAACAAAGGGTGTTGTCGTTTTTGGTGATTCTCTCTCAGCTCACTTTAGAATTCCACCACAACTTTTTGAACCAAAATACATGACTGCTGATACTTATAAGCAATTGTGGGAAATTATTACTAATGAAGCTGATTGGCCAATGCTTTCATGGGGTACTGGATTTTTGAATGATACATTCTCTGATTTGACTCCTGGTCTTTCTTCATCAATTTACAAACATATGAGAAATCACAATAGATGTATGCATAGAGATTATGCTACAATTGCTGTTAATGGTGCTAGAACTGGTGCTATGAAGGATATTTCTTTAACTTACAAGAGAGATCAAAAGAATGATCAACCTGTTCTTGCATTCTATGCTCTTGTTGGTAATGACGTTTGTGCTCCAAGTCACAGTTTGGACTTTACAACACCTGAGGAATTTGAAGCTAACGTTTTGGTTACATTGAATTATTTGGAACAAACTTTACCTGCTGGTTCAAGTGTAGTCTTTGTTGGTATGGCTCAAGGTGGTTTTTTGTTTGAATTCCTAAAGGATCAAATGCATCCACTCGGTGTTTCATATCCACAAATGTATGATTATTTGAATTGTTTGGAATCTAATCCATGTTATGGTTGGATGAATACTAATGGTACTATTCGTAATATTACTAGTGCTCAAGCTGCTTTGCTTTCAACTGTTTATGATAAGATTATTCAAAAATACTCTTTCAAGAACTTTAAGATGTACTATCATGAATTCCCATTGAAGGAAGTTGTCCAAATGTGGGTTAAACAAGGTGGTCAACCAAAAGATTTAATTGAACCATTCGATGGTTTCCATCTTAGTCAACCTGGTCAATCTTTGATGGCTGATTATCTTTGGGGATGGATTAAATCTGAGCATTCAGAAATTATTGGAACTCCAAATCCAAATAATGCTCAAATTATTAATATCTTTGGAGAACAAGGAGGTTATTAAATTTTGTACAACTGGATATCAGTTGCTAGAAAGTAAATTAATTAAAAAAAGAAATTCTATTAATTTGGTTTTTTATTCTTTGTATCTTAATTAAAAAATGAAAGGTTTGACAATATCTAATAGACACTCTAATTTCAAAGGTGTTTTTGAAACTATGGCCCAAATGAGTGGAATTTCCATTCGATTTCACTCAAAAGAGGAAGAGGATTTGATTAATCAAAAGAAGGAGAGTGGTCATTTTCTCAATGCTCATTATTCGAATCTTCATTCCAGTACAATTGGTAGATATTTAGCAAGATTGGCAAAGCTGTATCCGACAGAGACACTTAATGATGCAACACTTTCGGATGAGTTTGTTGAAATATTTAGCGACTTGTTGAAACAAGATGAAATATCTGCATCAGATCTAGAAGAACTGTTTCAATATTTAGAAAACCTTCTTTCTCCAGAAACAGATGGTTTTCTAGTTGGTGGGCAAATGAGTTGGGCTGATATTTATTTATGGAAATTATTGGAAAGAGTTGAACACAGGTTTGATATCAAAAGATTTGACAATGTGTCAACCTTCAAGGATATTCTCTTTAAGCGACTTCTAAATCATGAAAAATAGATAAAGTTAAACTATTTATTGCTACGAATCTTTCTAACAGTTATTTCACTTTTATAACGTTTATAAATTAAAGCTTTGCACACTCCTTTTTAGCAATTTGTTGGAGTTCCAAAACTTTTTGCTTTGAATAATTGGTCAATTCATCCACATCCTTAAAATCTTTAGAATCAAATACATCTCCAATTACAAACATGCATTTACCAGGTCCAGGCAAATCAATTCCAACAGGCCAAATATCCTTAGTTCCATGAATTGCACAAGGTACAATCTTGGCATCAGTTTGTTTTGCCAAAATAAAAGCTCCCTTCTTGAATTCCAAAAGTTCACCATCATTAGATCTTCTTCCTTCAGGGAACATGAAAATTGGTACGTCCAATTCGAGCCATTCCTTACATTTAGACATGCAATTCTTGGCACTTTGTTTTTCAGTAGTTGTATCTTCTACATTAGCAGAACTGAATGATAATGGAATGTCACCACAATGCTTCATCATATATCCTCCTATTTAATTTTGATTTAATTGCAAGTCAACCTTATAACAAACTTACCGAATGGAACATTAAAAATTGAATCCTTTGAAACCCACTTGGCATTATATCTAAACACACTATTTATCAGAATAGGATCCATATTACTTTGATGATTACAAATAAACACATATCTTCCATTTTCTTTAGGTGCCTTGTCGGTGCTCATTGTTCTAACTGTCCAAAATGGATTTAATTTAACTGCAATTCTACTACTCCATCTCATAAACACACTTGTTAGTGATTTTTGAACATCCCATCCAAAGAGGTTTGTTATTTTGTTGGTAAGAACTGAACAAAAGTAGGCTGGAATCCATAAAGAAAAGAAGGCTAAACTGGCGTAAGCTGTACAAATAATATTAATAATTGATGAGGTTTTTTGTACTCTTGATGACGATTGTTTATTGTTGCTGCTGCTCCCCTTTTGATCTGATGATGATAATTGTTCTGCTACTGATGGAGGAGGTGCTGTGTTGATGTTGTTGCTATTGTTTGTTGCTGAGGTGCTCATATATTCTTTTTAATAATATTGAAGAGAGGCGCTTTTGTTGTTTTGAGCATTCATCATTATGTTGAAAGAATCAAAAAGACCAAAACCGGAGCAATGAACAAAATAGCAACCCGCTTCTACAGCATCCTCCCTTTCGAAATTGGTTGGTGGAAATGCGCGAGTGATCCTTCACCTTATTCAACACAAACTGTATTACAACATTGATAAAAAGAGATTTTTCAATTTAAGAATGTTAATTAACTAATTTCTATACAAAATTTGATATTTAAAAATCTTACGGTTTTAACTTGATAAACTTTACAACAATCCACAAATACCAAGAAAAAAAATGGCGCAACTAGAAACTGAGATACACTTGGCCGAAACCTCATCAGTCCCAACTTCATCATGGGAAGATTTACCAATGGAAATATTCTATGAAATTCTTTCCTTCCTTCCGATGCTTCCTTTCTTTTTCAAACTCTCTCGGGTGAATAGAACATGGAATGAAATTCTAAATTATTTGATGGAAAGAGCAGCTAGTGATCCACGTTATAATTTACATTTAAATTTTGGTAGGTTGATAGGTGAGATGTCTTTTAACTGATTCGAATATAGGATATATCAATCCAAGTAAAATGGAATATACTGACTTGTTGAAAATACTTGATAGATGCAGAGGTGTGAGGAGAATTACATTATGTAATATGACAGTTACTAATGAAATTGTTAGAGCAATTGAATTGACACAAGTTGAAACACTTGTTATTTCTCAATGTGAATTTATAACAGATTGGGATTCTAGAGGTGGTTTTTCACAGTATTGGTTACCCCAAATTATTTTGAACTTTGATAAGATTGAAAATGACACGAGAAACAGATATGTATATTCTAGATTTAGTTCACGAACAAAATCATCCCAAAACAACTTTAGAGCTTTTACTGAATTAGTTGAGAAAACTGTCACACCAACCATGAAAAAATTAGAAAAGCTCAAAAATGTAATAGTATTTGATTGCCAAAATGGTTGCAACTTTTATATTCAAGGAGCATTACTTTCACACTATCTGGAAAACTATGATAAGATTGACTTTTGTAATATTGTACTTGGTGAAAAAGTAGATATAATCACAAAAGACCCCCTTCCAAAAGTTAGCTCTATTTCTTTTCGTGATCGTGAACCAATTAAGATATTAGTTGTAAAATCTCAACAAAAGTTTCAGTGTTCTTTAGCCTATAAGAATCTAGGTGATGCTGATATTGGAGAATCAAGCAAAGATATATTTGATTTTTTAAAGAGAAATGATTTGATTAATGGTTATGACCCTGGAAAATTATTGGAAAATATACCCTTTTCTGATTTTATTAAAGGAGTTGAAATGGGACTATTTACGCTATTTAGCAATGGAAAATCCATTATTTTGGAAAAACTTGAAGCACTCAGTGAGATATCTCCACGTTTGGATCCAACTATTGTTGAATGTTTTAAAAATTCGTCCTTTACCGAAAGCTCAACTTTTAAATTCGTAACAGAATTACTGGAATGGATTCACAAAACACCAAGCGCTAAAGAAGATTTATTCGAACAACACAAACCCATTTACAAGTCATGTGTGAAAGTGTGTAAAGATATTGACAAACGTTTCAAATACTATCAAACTAAAACCAAATCAAATGAAGAATTTATAATGTGGGCTTTCTTTTTAGAATCTGGACAATTGATCAAGAAATCAACCAAGAGAAAAGCAGAAGAACCATCCACAAAAAATAAGAAATCAAAAAAGTAATTGAAAAGATAAAGATGAAACTATTCAACATTTTCTTTTAAAAATTACATGAGCAAATTTAACAAAGATTTGTGAGATTAATTGCCGAATCAATTTGAGATTTTATCAACAAAATTTAACATTGACAATGTCAAAACCTAAATCACGTATTGCATGAGTTAATTCATCAATACAAATGCTTTCCTTGTAAAGTTTCAAAAGATTGTTAAATAAAATGTTGGAAGGGTCTAAGTCATACAATGTCAGACCACAATCAGTTCTAATTAAATCACCGAGAGTGGGTTGATAGAGAAGGGATGAGAATTGACCTTTCATTTCAAAAATACATCCAACAGGGTCGAGTGTCTTTCTCTTACAAAATCTCAAACACTTAATACTTCCTTGAATGCAGTGATCTCCACACTTACTTTGTATATCGTATCCAATCATGAGTAATCTATCTACAAGTTGATTAAATGTTTCACAAACTGTTAGATGAGAAAGCAACTCTCGCTCCACAAATTTGTCTTTGATTACCATATTCAAATCAAATGAGGTTGGCAAAATACCATTATCTGATTTCATTACACAACCCTTTCTGTTTTCCACATATGCTACAATTTTACATCCCTTCAACAAGTTGAATTGTCTGAAAACTCTGGTTGTGAAGAATTGGCGACTCTCTTGCGCTGAAATGCTTGTTGATGTCGAAGGTCGAACACGCTCTATGGATATTAAGCTAGAGCTCATATTTAGTGAAATCGAGCTTAAATTTAAAGAAGAAACAGAGGTGTTGGGATTAGATGTCTCGAGGATTGAAGAAGGATCCTTCATCTTTTGTAAATTTCGTTCTCTAACTTTTTCTACAGCTTTGAGATAATTACTCTTACTAAATACTCTATCAAGGAATAAAGAAAATGTATCTTTTGAAGAGAGTGACTTAACCTTCTCTTCATAAACATCATGGAAAAGAGCGTACAGCTTAACTCTTGAAAGAGAGCTGTCAAATGATTTCGATTTAAACTGAGCGGTAAGATATCTTTCATCGACTACTGGAAGACCCAAATCGTCGAACAGTTCTTCGTCTTCATATCTTAGATTTAGAAATTGTTGAAATTTCTTAATTCTCTTATCGATTGCATAATCTTCCAGAAAGTTAAGAAAGTCTTTACAAGACCAATTGCCTTGCTTATCCTTACAATACAGAGCAAAAACCTTGTGCAGAGTTCTGCTACTATCCATCATTCTGAATCTATCCTCACCAATATAGTCAACCAAGTCTTGTTCGGTTTTGATAAAATCCCTCTTTGGAGGCTTTTTTACACTCCTTTGTGTATTTACAGTTCTTAGTATAGAGGGTATTTTCTTTTCTTCTACATGGGCTGTAGTTGTTTGATAGAAATCTACTGAGCTGTTCACAGATACGGATTTCTTTCTGAGGATGGTGGCTTCATCAAAGCTAGATTTTGTTATATTGAGATTGTTTTCAGGTTGATTCTTAGTGAGATAGCTTCTTTTCCTTTCCTTTGACATGTACTCGCCAAACAACAAATAATAATTCTCCTCTAAATGGTCCAATAAATATTGACATTGTTTCAATAGATCCTCAAATTGATACGAAAAGTTACTAGCCAGCCTAGCCAAAATTTCAAGAAAATCTCCAATTACCACCGTTCTAATCTGATTGGATGATTTTTTAGAAAGAAACGAGCTGTGTTTCTCTTTCAGAATATTGTGGAATATCTTTTTTGCCACTTGTTCAGGAATCATATTTGGTGTAATTGAAAATACAGTGCAAAAATTGAGGAATGCATCAATATTCATAGTGTTGTTTGTCTTAAAAATATCCACAGCTTCAGTTTGTTTTTCTTCATTATCCATTTTGATAAATAAGTTAAAAATCCTTAGAAGGGGAGGTCTATAATAATGGAATAAAGATGAAACGTTGGGATCGTCTGTTATCCATTTTGAGAAATTATTCACTAATTTCAGAGCTCTTTTCATCATATTTAAAACATAAGGATAAAGAAGACTGGTTGAGCACATTTCTAAAGAATTTTTCTCCATTTCAGGAAATCTAATCTTTGCCAGTGTAGTTATATGGTTTAGGCATGTATTGAAATCAATAAATGGATTCTCGTAAATAACCTTAGTTGAGTAACCAAGTACGGACTCTAAAGAATTATTCTTATCTTTCATATAAATAGTGGATTCCAACATAATATTCTTAAATTTCAAGTATTTGATTCTCTTTTTAACATTACTGTACTTGTTCTTTTGTTTTTGATGTTGGTTTTGCAAAATTTTGTACTTATTAAATGTTTCGTCCTCAATATTATTATCCTTTTTCACCTCCTTTTTCTCTTGCTCTTGCTTCATCATCATTTTCATATGCTTCTTAGGAACATAGCCAATTCTTTTCCTGACCTTTTCCAAATATTGTGGTGAACCCTTGTCATCCCCTGTTTTTCCATTAATAGATTCTCTAATTTTCTTGTGAATATTACTAATTGCTGCTGCATGTTTTGAGTGATGTCTGTGTTCAGAGCCAGATTCTGGTTGTGGTTGTTTTGATTTGAGCATTGCAGACATTGTAACTGCAATAGCTGCAGACCTGAAAGTTAATTTCTTCTTAGCTTCAATAGTATTGTCAGTATAATCTGTACTTCCAAAAATATCGAATAATTTCAGCAGCAAATCATGTGGGGTGACCTGATGTTTGTACAATCCTAGTAAACGAAAACATGCGTAATCTTCATCCTCAATTGTTTTCGTTGTTGTTTTAATATCATCCTCACTTGAATTCTTAGAAACAATTATATGTGCTGGTAAACCTAAAGAGGTGGTACTCGGATCATTCTTTGGATTATAATGTTGAGGTGATGTATTGAGGATGGATTTAAATAGAGGAGAAGCAGGACTCTTCCTCTCCAAGTCCAAGCTAGAGGTTAAATCCAAGGCACTGGAATCACCATCATTGAGTATCAATGACTCTCCGTTTGAGCTTTTTGTACTGATGAAACTTCTTGGTCCACTTCCATAACTCTCTTCTTCGGATGAGGCACTATCTGTATCATAATCAACCTCAATACGTTCTCCAAAAACACTATCCTCATCCTCATCATTTCTCTTATTAAATAAACCATACCGATGAGGGGAGACTACCATCGATGTGGCTCTAAATGATGAATCAAACAACGACATTTGTTTGAAAAATCTTTGCCCTCAATAGTTGTGTTTTCTCTTTTTTTTAAAACTTGAATGTAACCGTAAGTTTTTTAAATTTGTCTCGCAAAAGAGAGGGCAATTGAGAGAGTTCTCTTATCAAGTTGTTGTTGTTGCTAATAGTATTGTGAATGAATTATTATTGATTAAAGATGATGATAATTTCATAAGATGACATGACCATAAGAAAAAAATGAAATCATCATCACCTAATTTTCTCTCCGATATGTTTAATACACATATCTATGCGAATAAGGACACTAGATATTTATTTTATTTTATTCTTGTTAATTTATTGTTTATGTTTGTAGAGTTGGCTTTTGGAATATATAATAATTCGTTGGGATTAATTTCCGATTCTGCACACATGTTTTTTGATTGTGCTGCTTTAATTATTGGTTTATATGGATCAATAATGTCAAAATGGAAGTCAAATCACATATATTCCTATGGATATGTTAGATATGAATATTTATCTGGATTTATTAATGGAATTTTACTTGTGTTTATTTCGATTTATATTTTAATTGAATCAATTCATAGGCTAATTGATCCGCCTATTGTTCATACTCAACAATTGTTATTAGTTTCGATACTAGGATTTGGTGTAAATATGTATGGTGTAATTTATTTCCATGATCAACATCATTCCGATGAAGGTGATTCATGTTCTCATCATCACCATCAACATGATGAAAATATTTATGGTGTCTATCTTCACATGATTGCTGATGCTCTGGGAAGTATTGGTGTTATTGTATCAACATTAATTGTACAATATTTTGGATGGTATATTGCTGATCCAATTTGTTCTTTAATTATTTCAATTATGATTCTTTATACTAGCTTCCCTTTAATTTCTAATTCTAGTAGAGTTTTACTTCAAAGAACACCTATTCAATACGAATATTCTATTAATGAATGCATTAAAGAAATACTGGATATTGATGGAGTTATTAATGTTAGTAATCCACACTTTTGGGTTTTGAAATCAAACTCAAATGTAGGAAGTTTAAAGATATTAATCAATGTACAAAGTAGTGAAAAGGAAATATTAAAACAAGTAACAGAGATTTTTAGAAAGAGTAATTGTGATTTTAAGGATATAAATATTGAAATTGAGAAGGATCCGCTTCAAATTACAACTGATAAGAATCAATAATATATGAATTAATTTATTTAGAAAGAATATATTGTAATTCTTGAGCAACACTTGACAAATCTCTCAACATGGATACTTCTTGCTCGTTCATTTCTTCGTGATCATATTCATGGTTGAGAATATCATTTAGTAACATATCTAAATGTTCCAAATCATAGTCAGAGTAAATTTTTGAATTTTCTCCAAAAGCCTCATTGTTAAGACAAATGTTATGGATAATCTTCAAAATTACTAAAGCTAGTGAAACATTACACTTCTCCAGTACGTCTAGTAATTTTTCAATTACACCATGCTCCTGGATTGCTTTAATACCCCTTGGGTCTGAAGTCATATTAACAAGTACTCCACAAACAGCATATACAATATCCGTATTGCCATGTTCAACCATTATTATTAAAGCTTCATCAATTCTAGATTTGGTAATGTATTCCCGAACACTTGAGTCTTGAGAAAGATTACCGAATGTTCTTGTAGCTTCGTAGACAACATCTGTCAAATCATGGAAGAGAAGTGGAGAAAGAAGGGAAGCAAGCTTAACTCTGAATGTATATAAAGGACTTGCTGTGTCACTAAAAGCATAAAACGAAAGATTGGTAATGCATCTTAGTGTATTCAAAATAAGCTCTTCAGAATCTTGAACTTTCTTTCTTTCTATTATTTCAATCAACCTAGTTACTTGTTTACTTTGAGCGACTATTCTTCCTTGGTGCTCATCCATCGAAATATTTGCAATCAACCTTATTAATTTTGTCAATAAATCCTCAGTTTCCTTCTTTACATTTTCTGCACTAGTATTTCTTTCATCTTCGATTGAGTAAAGATCTAAAAGGTCTAACAAGAAAGGAATTTCTGTTTTTTCATCAAAGAGTTCTTGGTCTGAGTAATCCTGGAATGTAATGTTTCCTAGAATAAAGGTAACTCGCACAACTATTGGTTTGTGTTTCTTGTGCTCTTTCATAACATTAATTAAACATGATTTTAAGGTTGAGATCTTTCTCATTTCTTCTGTACACGTTTCATCTAAAGAAAGTTTGCTTAAAACTCTAGTAGAGTTATGTATAAACTCTGAGTGAGACATTAGGGCATTCATCAAAATATGAATATTATCAATCACATTATACTCAAAAAATTGTTTAAAAGTTCCAGTCTTCATGGCCAAGTTTCTCAATGTGGCCATAATCTGAACTAAAAGCTGAGCTTGTTTGTTTACCTTTTCCATATTTCCAGTTTTCAGCTCTCTAAGTGCTGACGAAAGGAGTAAAGAAAGGAGTGAAATGGTGTTGTGTTTGATCAGCAGTTTTTGATTGAAATTATCATATGAAATGTTTTTCAATGTACCAATTGTAAACAGTAAAATCTCCCAAGAAACGGAATAATTATCGGTTGAAAATTCTTGATTTAACAATCTAACCAAGGGTGCAATAATACTGTCATCCTTAAATACTTTGTCATTTTTTTCTTGTTTGCTAATCTTGAATAGTATTTTACAAATATGTAGTATCTGGTAACCAAAGGTGGTAACTCTTAAAATTATAGAACAACATTTAACAGCTCGAGGCCCGTTTTCTATGTCTATGTATTTTGACAGTCTTCCAATGAAATTAATCTTCTTTTCATCTTCAACTGGATTGTGGACTGTTTTAAGTTTATCAACCAGCAATAATATCGAGTCCAAGGAGTCCATAAGAGCATCTTCGTCTTCGCATTGTTCCAAAGAGCCAAGAATTGTTTCTATTGAATTCCACACTTTGTCACTTGTTCCTTGCTCATGAATATGTGTTTCCTCTTTTTCCAAATCACTTCTACTACTTTTACTACTTCCTGTTCTTTTGGAGCTTGATGATGAAGGTTTCTATTACAACCATTTATCCAATAAATCTTAATAAAGTTTACTTACCTTCTTTCTGCTACCAGAACCCACTCGGGTAATTTCTGGGTTTGTTTCATCCCGCGTACCACTTGATGAACCAATATTTCGGTGAGAAAAATCAAAAGTGCTGGAGATTGATACAGCTGAGGTGGGCCGCGAAGTGTATTCATTTTCAATAAATAATCTTCTCTCACAATCCCGAGGTGTATATGGTCGTGATGGCCTTGCTATTGAGGGCCTAAGAATTTCCTCTGTCTCTACTATACTTCTCGCCTCAGATATTACACTTTGAATAATAGAATTTCTCATCAATTTGTTATTTGGTTTTTTTAAATCCTCATCACTATCAGAGTTTGATGTATTCGATCGATAAGATGAGGAAGCAATATTTGACCCTGATGATGATCTTCGCATTTTTTTGTATCGTAATTGGATGGCAAATTGGCGGGAAAAAACTCCTTTATTTTTCTGTTGTTTTGGTACCTTCAGAGTCGTCTTGTTGTTGAGGTTGTTCTTGCTCAATATTATTATTTTCATCAGAAGCAGAAACAGCAACATTTTCATGATCAGCAGCAGGTGTTGCTGGGTTATTGTTATCTTTGATTTCATCTTGTTGTTGGTTATCGCCTCCCAAATTTTGCTCCTCCATTGTTGTGCTGTTGTGTTGGGAGGTTGCACAACTTTGGACTTTTCAATTCCCAACAATTTAGTGGTTTCATCGTAGAGCTCATCTTCTTCGTCTCTATCGCTCTTGTTTGGATCAGGAATCTTTGCGAGGAATTCAACATCTTCACCTGCAATAGCCTTAAAGATAGCCTTAACATGTTCTGTCATTCCACTTTCTAATTGCATGACATCATGATTAGCATCATTGCAGAAATGAATCTTACTGTCCAATTCTTGAGAGAATGAAAAACTTCCCTTACGAATTGATTGCTTATATAAAGTTGAGAATACAATATTTTCCTCATTTTCAATGTTCTTGATAAATCTGTCTACACATGTTTGTAACATTTTGATTACAAGACTTTCTACCTCTGAATTGGATTTTCTAATGTCTGAAGGAATTCTTGTTTGAAGGGAGATCATGTACTTTCCTCTAGGAACGACACAACTTGAGTAATCTAATTGATTCAAATAAATAGCACATGGTTGTTTTACGATTGTTTCATCAGAGGCAACAATTGAAATTGTACCACTAGGAATAACTGCAATAGTGTTGGCAATTGAATTGAACAATGGAGATTCAGTAACTACAACAAACTTCAAAAGTAAATCGTCATCTGTGCTACTGGTATCACTTGGACAAGAATCTCTGTTCATTACCAAATGATCACAAGTAAATGTTTGAACTCCACTTCCAACTTCAATCACAACCTTTTCTTTAGAATAAATTACTGGTCTATCGGTAGTTTCATCTGTTGGGTCTGAGTTTTTCTCTTCATTTTGATCGATATTTACAGGCTCAGCTTGATAGTGAGCATTTTCAACAAGTTTTACACTATGAATTCCTCTTCTCAAAACATATACACCACCATAAACGGCACCAACTCTACAAAATGCTTGTACAAGCTCACTTTGTCCATATAATGGATAAAGGAAAGCTCCTCCATTTCCAAATCTACCTAAACTTGAAATGAAATATTGTACTCTACTCATAACTTGTTTAGTGGTTATTCCAATTGGAGAATCTAATAAAGCCAAAGCATGAACAACAATATCTCTCAATTTTTCAAAGCTTTGTTCGTCTCCCAACAGTTGTGTCTTGCTCAAAAATAAATCAAATGATTCATTTTCAAATTCCTTATAGGTTTTCATTTCTTCTTCCTGAGTGGATAGATTGACACAAAAGTTAATAAACTTTACAAGTCTATTCTTTTCCTTGAGAGAAATAAACTTGGTTTTAAAAACTTCACCCTTTGTTGTTGGAACTGCTTGAAACAATTGAGAAACATCCACAAGTGAAAATTCATCTTCAGATTTTACAACATTTTTAAATGGGTTAGTGGAATGCTCCTTGTCAAACATTAAAACAGAATCCAAACATCTAAATTCTAAATATCTAGCAATACCAGATTGAATTAATAATTCTACCATAGGTCCTCTACAATATAAAACATGCAATCCACACAAGTCAATCATTGTCTTTCTTTGAAGAGAAATATTTAAATCATCAATAATTTTAAAATTAATTTGAGAGAATGGATTTTGATAAAAAGGTTCCGGAACATCAGAATCAAAAGATTTTACATGAACATATTCGTTTAATTCAGATGGATTCACTGTACTAAAATGACCACCATAACTATCGTTTAAATCCAAGTGAAGTACTCGTTTTCCAGCTCTACTCAACGATGCAGCAATTAAACTCTCTTCGATACCAGTTCCGACAATGATGGCATCATAGTGAGTATCTGGAAGAACAATATCTGCCATTTTTTAAATTATTTGTTACGTCATTGAATTCTAAAATTAGTGTCCTTCTATTCTGTTGGTTTTTGAGGGGTTTGCTGGCCATTGATATTTTGTTGTAGGTTTAGAGGTTTCTTAGTTTGGTTTTGTGGATTAAAACCCATAGAAATTAGTGGAAATTGAAAAAAACCAGGAAGTGGAGGTTTGAAGCCAACGTTTTGAACTGGAAAAGGGAATTGGGCTGGGTCCTTTAAAATTGACGCATTCAAATGTCTTCTCCATCCTCTCTGATTTGCAGGAACAGGTTTCATTATTTGTGACATTTCAGTAGGGTTTGAAGGTATTAAGATATCACCCTTTGGCTTTAGACTAGATGTAACACTCTCCTGTTGGTCTTGGTCTTGGGTCTTATTCTGTTTTTTAAACAATAGTCCATTAAAATATTTGTCAATCTTGGCGGCCTCTCTCAGTCCACTAATTACAGCTCCCATAACAGTTGCTGGGAATTTTCTACAAGTGTGCTCTCCTCCAAAATAAACTCTATTATCAATAGTTTCAGCCAACAAGTCGTATTCTTCTCCCTTAGCTCCCATTCTAACGTAGCTATAGGAACCAGTACTGAAAGGATCATGATACCAGTTGGTTCTCATAATTTTCTTTGGATCGGGTAAGTTTGTACTCCATGAGAAGGATTTTCTCAAATATTTCATAACTTTTGACTTGATATATTCCAAATTACTCTCATTTTCCTCTATTGCATAAGCAGCCTTTCCAGTTACCAAACCACAAAGTATAGGCTTTTTGGTTAAAGGATATAAATTCCAGAATAAATAGCAAAAACCTCTTTCTGATGGATCTTCATGCGTTAGTCCAAAATAAAAGTGATCTTGTTGCCAAAAAACATAATCGAATTCCAAGATGATCTTATTCAAAAGGCCAAATCCTAATTTGTTAATCGAGTTAGTTTTCCATTCAGGAAGTGGTGGATTAAAGGTGCAAATATTTAGTGGACTTTTACCCTGAAGAACTCCTAAAGGAACAGTCGTAAGTACAGCATCACAGTCATATTCAAAATCATCAGCATTAGTATCCAGTTTGCCTTCTTTTAGCTGCTTTGATTTTCCAATTGGGTTCCTATGAATTCCTGTGGTTTCTGGAGTTTTCTTGGTCTTGACTCTTACAATATCTGGATTTGAGTAATCAACACCAACTACCATTTGGTTATATTCTATATATTTGTCCAATTCCTGAGCATCATTGCAAAGTGCATCTATCATTGAGGAAAATCCTTTCTTGACAAACAAATGTTCTCCACCAAGTTCATAAATATCATCCTGATCCCAAAAATATAATGAAGCAGATTCTATATCGTGACCAACTCCATAATCCAAGTTGGCTGTATGCCATTGAAGAACCTCCTGCATAGTTTTTCTTTCACTTTCAGGTGCTTCATTTACAATTTTTTCAGTCATTTTATCCATTGCGTATCCGAGTGACATGTCTGTTTTGCCAATTCGTGATTCATCTGTCATATCCTTTGGATGGCTGTCAATAAATCCCTTATGAACATCTCTTCTATATTCCTCTCTTTCATTTTCAAAGCCTGGTTGTTTAAGGGAACATACTTTATCCAAAATATCATTAAATGCTCTTTGATATTTATCATCCAAATCTTTAGGTAGTATTTGTCCATTAGATTGAAAAAGTTGATCTTCTTTACCAATATTTTTCAATTTGATTTGAGTTTGTTCTGCTACACCAACTACAGGAGAAGCGGCACTACATGTAACAATTGATGCTCCGATATCAACTGGAGAATCATCTGTCCATGAAAAATCTGTTAACACTCTCCCACCTGGTCTGTTTCTAGCCTCTATTAATGTAACTCTGTATCCAAATGAAATTAATTGTTTAGCTGCAAAAATTCCTGAAAATCCAGCTCCTATTACCACTATATGCTTTCTATCTTTTTGATTATTCACTGGTAATTTATCCAACATTTTATAATGGTTGATTTTTAGGTTAGTAGTAATACCATTTGGATATTTTGATTTTGATAAAAATCCATAATTAATATATCCATGTCTATTGAGAAATTGATAAGTGTTAATAATTATCTTTGCAAATTGAGCAGAGTCTGATTTGATATTTTTGAAGAATTTTAGCCTTGGTATAATTTCAAGTAATTTATCGCAATCAATCCATTCTGTAATATTTTTCCTCCACATAAATAATATGGTATTTCTGACAGCTAAATATTCTTCATTACATTCTAAGGCGTATGAAATGTCTAAATCTTTAATTTCTTCCACACTTAGTTTTTCATATGGTAATCTGCTAAAATAAACAGCATCACTTAGTCCATTCAAAAACTCATCAGTTGTAGTAAAGTCAACAAAAGAGGCCACCTTCTTCCTTTTAGCCTTATTTTTAATAGTTGGTCTTTCTTCATCAGAATCTCCAGAACTATCATCAGACGACGATGGAGAATTTTTAGATTGTACTCTTTTCTTCTTTGGCATTCCGATTTTAATATCAAGTAGTTAGATAATTTTACAAGTTAACAAGAGTCCATAGATGACTCTAATTTTTTCTGGTGTTTATTGCGATCTAAAAAGGGACAAAATGCTCCTGCGCTTTTTTGTTTTACAACAAACATTCACTTCAAAGCGAAAGTGAAGACCATGCGTTTTTTCCAAGTTCTTTTGATTGTCTAAGAAGAATAAATCAAAGAGAATATGTGAATGAGGAAGAAACTAAGGTTTTAAATATTAAAAACTCAATTAAACTCAATTTTGAGTGGAATAGTAAAAATGACCAGCAATGGTCGCCAGTATTAAAGTTATTGTAAACATCTCCCTCTCTAAAAAAAATATCAAACGATGTCTGAACAAGTAAGTCATTTTTTCTCTCCTGCAGGCCTCTAAAACATTTTCCGTATCTTGTCTTCATCACTACAAAATTTGTCATCATGAACAATACTCGCTGTTGAATAATTATTTTTTAAATTCATCATCAATATTAATTATTATTATTCGGATGTTTTTTTAATTTAATTAGGCTTATCGTAACGGATTGTCTTTCTTGAAGTATATCCAATTGAACTCATACTTCTTGAGAAGAGTTATCAAGGACCCAAAGATCAGAAAGGTAGAAATGAGAAAGATTAACGCTTTCAAGGATGCCGTTTTCGAAAGAGTTGAAGGTGAAAGTGAAACTCCTATGGAAGGTATGTAGTAATGTTTGATGATTATGTAATTAATAACAATTATAAAGATCTCCCAAGAACTGTGAATCAGCTTTAATTAAACCGAATAAACTGGGTTTTTAGATAATTACAAAACCAATTTTTATTTAAAAACTTGGAGCAAATATTGATGATTCTTCGTTATTGTTAGATGATTGCTTTGGTGGTTCTTCGCTGTCATCAAAGTCGTCTCCTGCAAAATCATCACCGAAAAATTCATCATCTACTGCTTCTTCAACAGTATTCAGAATTTCTTGAGCTGTGCTTGTTATACTCTTCTTCTTTTCTCCCAAAGTTTGAATATTATTCTTCTTGGCTATTTTCTTGTGTTCAGTGACAGCAGCATTTGTTGTTTTAGTTACAGTCTTTGTCTTTGGAGCTGTTGGACTTGGACTTGCTGTTACCTTTCTTTGACTACCAGAAGAGCCACCACCACTTGTTGGTTGATTTGTAGATGTTTGGTTGGTTGCAAAAAGGTCTGAAGAACTATTTGGAGTAGATAAAGGACTAATGGTTATCATGTGTTGAGTAAGGTTGTTTTGTTTGAGAATCATGTTCGAAGCTCTTATATCCTTCTCTCTCTTTTCTAACATCATCCTTAGTTCTGTATTTTCTTGAGAAAATTTCTTAACTTCTTGTTTGGATTGGTAACTAATCATTTTTGCTTTCTTTTCCAACACTTCTTTCGATTTGTTCATAACAATAGTATCCTTTTTCAATTTGTCATTTTCTTTAGATAATTCTTCAATTTGCTTTGTCAATTCATCAATTTTTGTGACACCATCTTCTGTCAAGTTCTTTCTCTTCAAAATTGTTTCTAAATTCTTTGCTTTTTGCTCATGAACACCTAGCATCTTATTCTTTTGGTTAACTACTTCTTCGAGCTCTTTAATCTTGTCTTTCAGCTGTTCAATTTTACCGCTTTGGAACCTTGATTCGTTCTTCATAACATCAATTGTCTTGTCTTGAACACCAGCAGATGTTTCCAGAGCTTTGCTTTGCTCTCTTTGGATAATCTTCAAGCTCTTATTTTCCTTTTCAAGATCTTCTAGTTGTTTAGTTAATTCACTCATCTTATTAACTAAAAGTTTGATTCTTTCTGGATTTCCTTCACTAAAGAGTTGCTTTTGTAATTTTTCAATTGTTTTCTTATCAATTTCATGTTGTTTTCTTAAAAGTTTAAGCTCTTGATCATTTCCTACAAGAACTGTTTTGACTGTTGGTTTTGGCTTTTGAATTTTAACTCCGTTTTGTTCAAGTTGTTCCTCCACTATTTGATTGAGTTGTACAAGTTGCTCCTTCAGACCTTGGTTATTCTTTTTAAGCTTAGCAATTAATTGTTTATCTGAATTGAGAGCTTTTTTCAATTCTTGAACTTCATGGGAGTCAGACGGTTTAATACCGAGATCATTCTTATATTCCTCTGTAGGTTCAATTTCTTCTTCCTTATTTTCAAATTCGTCACCAAATGATTCAAATGATTCATCCGCATTATTTGTTTCACCTTCAACTTCGTTGTTTTTATCTGTATTTACAAGAATTCTAACTCTATCATCAACAGGGACATTGTCGTTAGAATAGTCGGATTTTTCATGTTCAAACTTTTCCATAAAGTGTGTATTTGTACTAGGCCTTGAAGAGAATTGAGCAAGCATTTTAGTACTCCTTGTTGATGTTGGTCTCATAGATGGAGATGATGGCTGTCTATTTGCTGGTGATGAAGGGGCTGATGATTTTTGAGAAGGTGATGTTGCTTGTTTTGGTGAAGATTGTTGTTCTTCTTCTTCATGTTCTTCATCTTCTTCATAGTTGAATGATTCAAAACCTTCACCTGATTCGTTATGTTCTTCTTCAGACATTTTTTGGCGCTATGTTTTTTTAAAAAAACCTCAAACCGCCTCACTTTGTCCAGTCTACAGTTTGAACTTTATTGGCGCCAAATCAATGTACAATAATGGGCTCTATGAAATTACTAGAATGTAACTGCTCCATTTTGTTCTTGTACACACTTGGCTTGACACCTTTTGAATAATAATAGCACTTCAACATTATAAAGTACGAAATGAATTTTGAAGAGTTTAAAGATTACTCTCCTCCTTTATCGTCATCATACAACAACAATAACACTGAAATAATCAAGTTTCAAATTCAATAGTCACCGTGGCCGAGCAAGTCTAATCGGGTTTTAAAAAAGCTCCAACTCTAAAAAAAATGATCGCTTCCTCTCCTTCTGGTGCCAATATTGGTGAGTCTGCCTTTGATGGGTTTACACAAGAACAAGGTATGTTTGATGAGACTATACAGAATAATATTTAAAATATATATTCAGGTGTCGCTATTGTTGGTAGTTCCAACGTTGATCTTACTTATGTAAGTATTTACAAATCCGTGATGATGGAAAGATATTTACTACTACAACAACAATGTCATTATTGATAATAATATTTATTGATAATATTGATGTATAAACAAAATTAATTTTGATCATGATAAAACTAATAGGGAGTAAAAAGAATTCCTAAAGTCGGTGAAACACTTTTTGCTGATAGTTTTGACCAACAATTTGGTGGAAAAGGAGCTAATCAAGCAGTCTGTATTTCTAAATTATCGAGCAAGGAGGCTAAAGTAGTTTTTGTTACTGTTGTTGGTAATGATGCTTTTGGCCAACAAGGCAAAGAAAACTTTAGAACTAATAATTTATATAATGTGGACAAAAATGTAAGAATTGTTGATTCTGTGAGTGGACAAGCTTTGATTTTTGTTGAAAAAGCAACAGGAAATAATTCAATTGTTCTTGTAGGAGGATCAAACGAACATCTTACTCCACAAATGGTTGATGACTCATGGGATGATATCAAACAATGTAAAGTACTTGTATGTCAAAATGAAACACCTCTCAATGCTACATATCATGCTCTTAAGAGAGGAAAGGAAGAAGGATTGATTACCATTTTTAATCCAGCTCCTGCTGTCAATCTCTTAACTTTACCTCCTGAACTTGCTGATCTTCCAAAATATGTGGATTATATTATTCCAAATGAAACAGAAGCACCTTTAATTATTGGAAAGGAATTGGCTGACTCCTATGTTGAGGATCAAAGCTCAGTTGAAAGCTTATGTAGAGAAATCAAAGAAAAATTATCAGTCTCAAATGTCATAATAACTTTAGGCAAGAGAGGTTGCGCTGCTTTGTACACTGAAAATGGAGAAACAATCTATAAGTATGTGGAGGGTGAAATTGTAGATGTAATGGATTCAACTGGTGCAGGTGATGCTTGGGTTGGAAGTTTTGCTTATTTCGTTTCTTGTGATATTCCAGTGGAAGAATCCATCAAGTTGGCTAATTTCATTGCTTCTGTCACTGTTCAATTTAAGGGAGCTCAAATGTCATATAATGCAATTTCTCAGTCAACTGTTTTGAAGAAATTTGAACTGTAAATAAAAGAATCAACAAAATTATTTATTTAACAATATTCTGATTTAGAAAAGATAATAAATTATTATTTATTAAATTAATACACAATTTGATTGAAAACAACAATAAAAAAATGGACGAAGTAAACGTCGACACAAACATTCTCAATCAAAATCCACCAGCTATTTCTCCGACAACTAAAGGATTTGTAGGAAAGTTTTATGCGGAATCACCATTCTTACCTTTCACAACAAGTCCTACTACCAGCAATAATAATAATAATAATATTAATAATTCATTCCAACAACAAGATGTGCAAAATAATATGATGACAAACGATAATTTTGGACAACAACGGATATGTCTGGTTTTAATTTTCCTCAAGATTCAATGAATAATAATTTTAATAATTTCGGAATGTCTTATAACAATTATTATGATCCTAATTTTATGTATATGAATCCAGAGCAATTCATGATGCAACAACAATTATTTTTCAATCAACACATGGATGACTTGAAACATAAGGCTAATATTGAAAAGGATAAATATTTGGAACAAGCTTATTTGACAGGGTTATGTTATGAGAGATGTGTTAGTCAGTATTATCTGAATCCATTGGATGAATACGATAGATTTAAAACTATGGAAAAAACCACAGAACATTTAGCACCTAAGGAAGCAGATTGCTTAAAAGATTGTATATATAGACAAAAACACTTTATTTCTACAGTTATGAAACATATTTACACCAAAATGTCATCTTCAAATCAGTAAAAAAAACATAAATTATTATTTACTTTTGTTCAGCACCACTTGTTGTTTGTTGGTTGGCTAAAAGAGAATTATAGTGTGAAGCTCTTGGATGCTGCTGAATTTGAATAGTTTCCTTAAATAAATCTCTAAGGTTTTGCTGTTCTAATACTTCCAACAAGGCAGTTTCACTCAATTCTCCCAAGTCTAAAAGGAACTCTACTACTTTTGGTGGTTGGAATAAGGTTAGCTTATCAGAGAGACACTTTGCTAAACCAAACAATATTGTCTTGCTTTCGTAGGCTCTCTTTTTGATAAGAGATGGGAAAGAAAATTTGAGAAGGAATTGAGCTAAACCGTTATGCAAGTTCAAAGATTGAATAGCTGTTCTTATAACTAACTTTGGTACTGGTACAATATCAACAATTTGTTGGAGAGCTGTTTTCAACATTTGTGAAGTGAATAGTTGCTTTCCATCTCCAATAAGACATGCATCAAGTACATTTCTTGTATTATTAAATGCCACAGATTGTACTTCACTATTGGCCTCTATTTGATGTAAAATTACAAGAATTTCATCTCCTGAAAGCTTGTCACTCTTCTCGGCCTTTGAATTGGCTGTCACCATACTGATAATATTCTTTTTTAGTAATTCAACATCAGTAACAGATTTGAAAACGATTGGAAGGGCTTCCTTGGCTTGTTCTTTGGTTAATTGAGACAAAATAGGTAAAACCATTCTTGGATCTTTGATGTTTCTTTCGAAAAATGTGTAAATGAGCACCTTGGAGAGATTTTCATCAATACCTTGTGGTTGAAGTGATAATTGTTGCATAATCTTAATACTAATATCGAGACACTCGGCCTCCTTGAAATTTTTCAAATACTGTATCACAGTTGCTCTGTTCAAGCTCGATTTCACAGTACTTAAAATGTCTTTCTCCAAGACTGCTACAACTGGCTCCATATTTTCTGAACTCTTGTAGTTAGCATAAACATCATTAAGGAGTTTCTCAAATGTTGCTTCACAATACGACGAGCTAAGAGCCAAATAAAGGGAGCTGTACCTCTTAATAATTTCATTATTAGCATCAGTGCTTGATTCTTGTTCATCTACCATTTCGTCAGTTGAAGTTGATTGCTCAATTAGAGGTTTCATGTCCATAATACTTGAATATGCAAAGTCGGTAATTTCTTTCTCAAATAAAGTATACAGAGTTTTATCACGCAAAATCTGGATTGCAGGTGTACGAATCTTAGAGTTTTGGTGAATACCATAATTTAGTAACATATTCAAACACCTTTCTCTTAAATTTTGTCTGTAAATAACTATATCTCTTAGAGCTGTTAGTCCATGTCCTATGTAATTATCGCTTTCACAAAGATCTTTACAAATATAATCCAATGTATATTGCGTAATGTGTGGAGATTGAACCAAAAATCTGGCAAGAATACTTTCACTCTTATCGAAACTGAGTAAAAACTTGTGGAAAAGTCTTGTATATCTATTTTCGGAACTTTCTTCTTTTTTGACATTATATTCTTGTTCAATGGAGTGTTTATACTCCATATACAACCACATCATGAGTAGTGAGAATCGGCCCTTAACATCCTCTTTAATGAAATTGTAGAGTTGTTGATATTGCTCGTCTGTTTCGGCACTTCTTACAGCCATAAGACAAATGAGCTTAATTCTATAGTGATCTTTTCCTTCTCTTTTCATCCCCTTTTCATTCATTAACATCTTGTTCCAATTGAATTTTTTGAGTTGTTGTTTGCAGTTATCATCAACAATAGATAATTTAAGTTTGAATTGTTTTGATAAATCCTCCTTAACATCTTCTTCAACTGGCTCAGCAACCTTTTCTTGTTTGACAGTTGTTTGTTGTTTGTATGTGACAACCTCTTCCTCATCAGAATCATCTCCAGAGGCTTTAGATTGATTAGAACTGAAAGCATTACTCTTATCAGGAACATATGCTGTTCTTGGATCTTTTTGGGTAAGTCTTGGGTCAGCTTTTTGTGATTGGACTGGAGCAGCTCTGCTATATGGACTTCTTCCGTAAGGTGTTGTAGCAACTTGTCTAGCTTGATAAGGATTTGCTTGTTGTTGGAGTACAGATACTGTGACAAGACTAGAGTTGAATGATGGAATAGGTTCTGATAAGTATAATTGTACGGAACTCATATATTGTTGCTGTTCTTCTGAAGAATATGTATTACCTTTCTTATAGTGACTAGAGAGGGCAGACATAACGACACCAACCAATTGATTACTATTCTCAAGATTCTTAGGTGGTCTATTAGATTTTGATTCAATTCGAGAAAGATTTCCAAGAACTGTATTTGCCAGCTCAACGTTAGTCATAGCATTTGGAACATAGCTGATATATAAAACTGATGTAGGCTCCAAATCTTGAGTAGGTTGAGCTCCAGTTTGATTTTGAGAAGCTTGAGAGATATCATTCTTCCTAACCTTGGCTTCTTTTTCCTCTGCAGGTGGTTCCTTTCTTTTTAAAACTGTAGTATGTTTATCCACAAATTTAGTAATCATTCCGATCGAAGTATTGCTTACATCAAGCTCACCCAATCCATGAAGAATAGTTGGTCTCCATTTGTGTCTAGTTTCTGGCATTTTCAATAAAAACAAAATAGCTGTTTTCAATAAAGTCTTCAAAGTTTGTTTTTGTGTGTTGTTAGTTCTACCTTTTCCCAAATAATAGTAAGCCTGATTAGAAAGGAAAGGAATAATTGTGTTCCAAAATCCATGTCTTTGTTTTGCAATATTCAGTAAAGCTTGGATGATGACTGAAATTACAGATGATGGACAATCCTCCTTTTTAAATTTTTCAATCAATTTTTCCAAATATCTTGCTCCTTCATCTCTCATATTTTCAACATTGAAACATCCAACTTTACCATTCTCTGCATAACTTGAAACAAAGCTCAAGTCAATTGGGTAAGGATCTATATATTGAACCTTGTAGGTGTTACCAGAAAGTTGAAGGTAAGATAAGAGGTTCGAAAGGTTTTCTTCATTGATTTCCATATTTGACTTATTAATACTACTGTACATTAAAATTAAATTTTCAATAAAATGTACAGCATGAGTTTGAATACCTTCATTATCCTTATCAATATAACTCAAAATTCTCTTAATCAAAAGTGACATGTGACTGAATAAAATACTATTATGCTTGTTGTTTGGATCCAGAGTAATTAATTCAATAGATTTCCTAACAATTGAAATACTTGTTGTAATAATACGCTTCATCAAGTTTGTACTATCAGTAGAAATCAGAATTAAAGACAATGTTTCAGCACAACTCTTTGTATTTTCAACAGAAACATTTTGAACCTTGTTCATAACTTTTTCAATCAAGAGAGAAAGGAAAAGTTTAAAATCTTGAGGGTGCACAGGATGTTGAATCTGAAGAATTTTAGGCAAATATTCGTTTACCAAGTCATTATCACTACACAATAATTTCCAATTTCCAGCAAATTTTACTATTAACATACCTTTCTGTTGTGCTGATCAAAATATCATCAATTTGTTGTAGGTAGTGATTTAATTTATCCTTGTTAGTCTCGAATTTAATGTGTTCAATAAATTGAAGTAACTTTTGATGGCTTGATCTATTTGTTGCGTGAGATGACGATCCACCAGAAAGTGATGTTGGCCCCGAAGAGATGTTTCTTCGAGAGGAACGTTTTTGTGGTGTCGATATCATTTTTTTTCACTTTGCGCCTTTTAATTTGCTTCTTGTTGTTTTTCTTCACGTGCCATCAAATTAACGCTACACAACAAATAGAAGAAATCAATTTTAGAAAAATGTTGTGTGCTTTGGCGAGAGGAGTAGTCAAATCAGTGTTTGGGTATGTTTTTTTGATTCATGTTCATTATATATTTATTGTTATTAATATAACTGTAATCTTCATCATCATCGGAATGTATGCTATTGAATGTGTACCAATTAATTCTTGTGTTGATTTTAATAGATCAACCTTCAAGAGTGCCGAACATCAAATTAATAAAATTACTAGTGACGTATTGTTCCCACTCTCCAATTCTAGTCCACTTAGAGGAGATAAGCAATATGCTGATATGCACCATCATGAATGGTATGGAGAATTGGCTCAAGCAAATCAACAAATTGATGCATTACTCAAGAAGAAACAATTGGAATAAAATTAAAAATAAAAAAAATGTGTATTGTAGGGTGTATTCAATCATTTCACCCTTACTTCCCTTTCATTTTGGTTGACAATAGGTATGAGTTATTTTTGGATTTTTAAAAAATTAATTTTTTTTTGATTGAAAATTTTAGAGATGAAGATCCACTTAGATCTACAGGTGAAATTGATATCAGAGTAGATTCTCAAACAGGATTTAGAATTCTCTCATGTATTGATAAGAAAGAGGGAGGAACATGGATGGGGTTTGTTTTCATTTATTTTCCAAATTTAATTGTAAATAGTCTCAATTTAGATACAAAGAATATGGTTGTGTTGACAAATGTATTTGGTCCAACTGCAGATACAGATCATTTGATTTCTAGAGGATTTATTGTGAATGGAATTTGTTTATTTCCAAAAAAATTGAAATCCTCAATTGAAATTGAAGAATTAAGGAAAAATGTTCTCGATCAATATTTTGGAGAAGAAAAACACATGCGAGGATTTAACATTATTATGGGAAATCTGGATGGCGTAAATCCAATGTTTTACATGACCAATAGAGATGATCAAGCTCAAAATCTCCTAAACTATTACAAAATTGAGGAGATCAATAATGAGATTCACATTGTTTCAAATACATATTTGGATGATTGTAGGAATGAACTTTATAAGAAATACAAACTTGATCTTCTCAAGAATTTACTTGAAAAAACTGTGAAAGAAAATAGAGAAATCACAGATCCAGATGTAATGCTCCAAAAATTAGAAAAATGTATTACTAATAGATTCAGAGAACATTTCAAGGAGGAAGAACAAATTATCAATCACCTTACAAACATTGAACAACTGGATCATAGCAAAGACCCATCCCTGTTGAATCTGATTCCACAACACTTTATGAAAGACGGTGCTGGTCCTCTTCATTTCAGATCACGACTTGACTCACATTACAACATTTATGTAAATAAGACCTACTTTAAAACCAGATCCCAAACAATCATTCTAATGGATAATCAAGGAAATATTCATTACTATTACAGAGATACAGATCCATTATTCATGCCAGAAAATGACTCTGAAATCAATAAGAGCAATTCCATTCCATGGACTCATTTCAAAGTATAGTACATTATATTGACAAACCACTAAATAAGAGGACATCAAATGAACAGTCATCATCCTTACTATTCGTTGCAAAAGTATTACCCCCACCAACTGTCAATTTAATATTGAACCATCAATATGATTCACAATTTGTGGAGGTGTTTTGTGTGTGAAATATTTAAAAGTGTGAGATTCTCCATGAACAATTCAAGCAACGAGGATCGAAAATAAAAAATGTCTTGTTGTGGATTTTCCTGCGTCGTTTACACATTGGGTGTCATCCTTGGCCTTGTCTTGCTCAAGAAGGTTGTTGGTTTTATCTATGCTCACTTCATCTATAAGAATTCAACTAATTACAGAGGAAAGAATGTTTTGATTACTGGTGCTACTTCTGGTAGGTTTATTAGAGAGTGGTGTTTTTATTAATCATAATTGGCCGATTAATGATGACAATTAATTTCTGATGAAATATTATTAATTATATTATTATTAAATAATAGGTATCGGAGAAGGATTTGCTCATGAATTCAGTAGACGTGGAGCCAACGTTATTGTTGTTGCCAGAAACGAAGAAAAGGGACAAAACTTGAAGAATACTCTCGAAACCAAGTATAAGAATCAAGTTTCTATTGCTATTGTTGATTTCGAAAAGGCTTCAAGAGAAGAAATCAAACAAGCCTTGTTGAATGTTGTTGGTAACAACAAGGTTGATGTTTTGGTTAACAATGTTGGTATTAATAATACTAACAATTCTCCATTCCCATTCACTGAACAACCAGAAAGTGATTTTGATAAGCTTATCAAGGTTAACCTTCATTCAGTTTTGAGTGTTACCAGAGCTATTATGCCAATCATGAATGAAAGAGGTACTATTTTGAATCTTTCTTCATATACTGCTCAATATCCAACTCCATTGATGACTGTTTATGCTGCTACCAAGTCATTCATTAATGCTTTCAGTCTTGCTTTGAAATATGAAGCTCCAAAGATGGAAGTTTATGGTCTTTCTCCAATGTGGGTCAAGTCTGACATGACTATGGTTAGAAGAGCTACTTTGATGAAGCCAGAAGCTACTGTTTATGCTAGATCATGTGTTGATATTATTGGTTGTCCATTCGGTGTCAGCTATGGTTTGACTTCTGCTTACTGGCCACATGATTTGGTTGTCAGTTTGTTGGCTTTGGTTCCTGAATCATTCTTGATGAAGCAAATGAAGGGTTTCCTTTCTGGTCTCATGAAGAAGATGCAAAAGAAGGCTGAAGAAAAGAAACAATAAACTATCTCCATAACTTCTCAAACATTCATAATTTAATTCTCTTGTAAAAAACCAGAAAAAAAAATGTCCCAACAAGAAGAGGGTTTTTCTACAACAACTACTGGTTACATTTTTCCATCTCTATCGGAAATTAGACAATTGGTAGCAACAGACCAGGAATTTATTTCTAGTGTTGATTTATTTATTAGTAATTATTTACAGATTAGAAAATTATATTCTATTAAACAAGAATTTGACAGGGAGACAAACCACTTTAACATTGAACATTTATTGGATTTTGTAGAAAATAATGAATTTGATCATGGTTTTTGTTATATTTCCAGGTATTTATCCAATGATGGAAATGTAGTAAAATCAGTCAAGGATTGCATTCTTTCATTATTACAAACACATTTAATATATGAAATTGCAAAGTTAGTAATCAAAGTCATATTTAAACTCATTAAATTCATAATAGTAAGAATATTGGAGCTAGTAAAAAAGTAATGGAAAGAATTAATGAGGTTGTCAACTTGTTTCGTATAAATAATGGCCCGTATCATATGAGAGTGAAACAACTTCAAGCTGAATTTAAGGTTAGACAATTTGATTTTCAAGATGCCAAGGAAAAATTTATTAATTATCATACACAACACTTTTTACATCCCAAGTCACAAACAAGAATTGAAACATCACCCAATATGATTACAAAAAAGCCTAAATCAAATCAATCCAGACCTGATAAAGGAGCTATTGTCACAATTGGAGAGTCAAGTGATGTGCAATTTAAATCTATTTCTCAAATAGTTGATGAGGAATGCTTTGAGGAATTAGGAGGACAGATGTAATTAACGTAGAACTACCCACCCTTCAATCTCACATTTATTCTCAAACAACAGCAAACCAAAGTTCTACCTCGACGTCATATGCCTCAGCATCAACTTCTCAAACAATCAATGATACAGTGGATCATCCTAAGACACCAAAAAGAAAAACTGTGACAACAAGATTAGCTGAGGAATCTCCTCAAAAGAAATGCAAACCCTATCAATTCGATCAACATATTGTAATTATGAAAGAGAAAAACTTTTCACTATCACCAATACCTAAGAGAATTCCAGAAGTTCAAATTCCCATTGATAACTTGGTTGGATGTATTAAGGGAGCCGCCAAAATGGTTTTTTATAATAATAATCAAATTTGTTTAGTTGGATTGACCAAAAAAGAAGATGGAATTGGAATAGATGACCCTAAAATCAAGGATTATAAATCATTGGGATTGGAAAAGAAGAATCTTTCAAATGGAAATTTATATTTACACACATTTGGATCTTATACACTTGTGGGAGATACTTTTATTCCTAAATTTACATTGTTGGATTCATTCCAGAATATTAGATTGACTCTGGAGTTTTCAGATTTTTCATGCCAGAAAATAAGATCATTTACTCCTAGTTCGATAGATAAAAATGTTTGGTATCTATCAAGTGATCAGTAAGTATTGGTTTTACGGATTTAATTCGAATTTTTCAGTGGAAGAATTACTTGTGTGGTTTTCATGACCAATACGGCCCGTGCAGTTAGTGAGAAATTATTTGACAAATCAATTTATAAGATTAAATCTGTTAAAATAGATTCTAAAAAGGAATGTTTGATTATGCTTAGTGAAACAACAGTGAAATACACGTACATTGATTTAGTAGAAACAGATCCAGGGAATAAGAAAGCTGTTTTCAAAAAGTGTGATGAATTCTTCTTTCCTTGCATTCCAACGACAAACGCTTCGTACAATAATATTCAACGAGTAGATGTTGGAAAGGTTTTGATTCAGAATTCAGGATGTATTTTTATTTTCAACACCATTACTGAAAAGATTGAACTAGTTGCAGATTTTACTTCAAGAAAAAACAAACATCAAATACTTCATTCACTAGTTGATGGCAAGAAAATCTTGTTTGTAGAATATTTACCAGAGGAAAAAATCTCAATAATCAACAAGATTGATATTGAAGAAAATTACAAAGTGGTTTCAAGAGTCAAAATTGGGAAGAAAGTTATTTTTATTCACAAACATGACTCATCAGACCAATATTTGTTGGTATTTTATAATAGTGTTGGAGTTTTAACTTTAAATTAGTCCATCAAGCTCATCATTATCATCAATAAGTCTTTTAGAATTATTTCCAGAGCTATTGGATGGTTTGGTTGGGGTTGCGTCTAGTAAGAAGCTGGTATCATCTCCTAACGTAAACGATTCTGGTAATTCAAATGAATCATCCTTTTGAGGTTGATCTGTAGCTGGTTGAGCTGGTCGTGGAGGTTGTTGAAATTGTTGGGGTGGAGGTTGTTGAGCTACTTGATTAGTTCGTGAACCAAGATTAGATAATAAACTTCTACCTCTTCCTGTTTGTGGAGTTGCTTGTTGGGCTGGTTTTGTAGGCTGTTGTTGATTATTGGTTACTGGAGGAATAATATCTTGAGGAGTTTGTCTGGAAGGTGGTTTTGAAGGGGGTGGATTTATACTAGGGATATTATCTTTTGGTTGCTGTACATTTTGTTGTTGTGGAGGTGGTGAAGGTTTGTTAAATTGGACAGAAGAGGAGGTTTTTTCAACAATTGGTGGAGCTTGAGGTTTTTGTAAAATAGACCTTGGTGGCTCAATAGGTTTTGGAGGTTGAGGGAGCTCTGATGTTTCCAAATCCTTTCCCTTAGATCTCAAATGCTCTTTAAAATTGTTTAGGTTACGATTTGAAGGAAGAGAAGGTGTTCTATGAATATCATTTTCTACTTCTTCTAGATCTTGGGTTGAGAAGACACTTTTCTTCTTTTTTTGTGGAGATCGATAATCCTCTTCAGGCTCTTCCTGGTGATGCTCAATTTTACGTTTGGATGATCCTTGATTAGGTTTTGTTGGAGTTCTCACAGCATGACTGGTAACTTGTTCAGGTTGAGGTTCATCATCAGTAAAACCAAAATCAACTTGGTCATCATCATCGTCTATTAAGGGTTCATCCACTCTTTCTTCTCTTTGAGTGGCTTGTTGTGTTGGTTTCTTTTGTGTGATTTGTTGTCTTTGATTTTGAGGAGGCATTGAAAAATTAACAGTTCTAGGATCTTGTAAACCAATACCTAACTTGAAAAGAACCATTTCAATATAACCCTTATAATCACTATCTGGATCGTCTGGGAAATTAGAATGAAGTACAGATGAAACATTCAGTAAAGATGAAGTATTGGAAGAAATATCAACAGTTAATACAGACATTACAGCATCTTGGACAGTAACCTCTTTTCTACACATGAGTCTGGCATGAGCTTGGGCTAATCTAACTAAAGACTCAAGCAAACGAATAGTTGTTCTTGCAGCAACTCTTCTGTCAGCTCTTCTTTGAAGTCTATAGTATTCTGTTAAGATTCTACCACTTTCTGGCGGTATTTGTGGATGATATTCTGATTTGATATAGGAAATATAAGCTCTCAACTTATCAAATGACCATAACTGAGAATCTTCCTCTTCCATTTGTTGCTCATTGAGAATGAATGATGAAACTCTATTGTCCCACTCTTCATCTTGGGAATCTAAAAGTACAAGTACAATGTCAAAACGACTCAACAATGGACTAGCAAGTGCACAATTTACAGAAATACTTGCTTCCAAATCATACTTTCCCTTTGGATTACATGCTGCCAAAACAGTTGTTCTCGTATTCAATTTACAAACTAAACCAGCTTTTGCAATACTGAGGGTTTGTTGTTCCATAGCTTCGTGAATGGTTACTCTGTCATGTTCTCTGATAGCATCAAATTCATCAATGCAACAAACTCCTCCATCAGCCAAAACAAGAGCACCTGCTTCAAGGGCCCAATCTCCTCCAGACTCTTTTGAAGCCATAACTGTCAGACCGGCACTAGTTGTACCAATTCCATTTGTCATTACATATCTGGGACTCAATTTAGAGGCATATTTCAAAAATTGACTTTTTCCAGTACCTGGATCACCAACAATCAATAAATGTGACTCTCCTCTAATACGTGTATTATTCTTTTTCATTGGTACTCCTCCAATAATAGTCAACGCAACTGCCAACTTGACAAAGTACAATCCAAATAATTGAGGGCACATACTCTTCAAAATTAAGCTTCTTCCTGCCAATGGATTCTCCTTATACTTTTCCCAAAAGTGTTTAAATTCTGATTTCAATTCTTCTGTAACGTTCATTGCACTCTTCTTTTCATTTCCAATACGAATGTGATTACTCCATACAGCCATATCAACACCACATCTAGCATCGTTTTTAAAAGTTTTCCATCTTCTGAAAGGTATTCCTGTTAAAATTACATCATCTCCAGCTTTTACAACATCCACTAAATCATCTTCCAAAACTACAAGAATGGAACGAGGAATTGAACCAACATGTAGTTGTGAAATTTTGTCTTGAATTTTGATTTCCTGATAATCTCTACAAACAATTTCATCCTCTCTCGAAATAAATGATTTTCCTCCACAATCTTCAATTGGGCATTGTGTTGGTTTCGTTATACTATTAAATTGTTCTCTATCTGCAACAATATCAAATGACTTTTTACACTTTTTACAAATATAAATCTTCTTATACTCCAACATTTTGATAGGCCCTGTTTTAATGACAGTACCACTGACAGAAATTAATCTATTAGCGTCACAACTCCTCACAGATCTCACTGATGTTTTTGTTACTTCGGAACATTGTGGTAACGTATGAAGTCTAACATGCACAAATGTTTTCAATTTAAATTGTTCCTTCATAACTTCTTGTTTTTCAATGTGACGTTGCTGTGTTTTAATCAGTGCTCTCTCAAAAATAGGAATTAATTCTGTTGGGTATGATAATAAAATTGATCCAATTTCAATATTTGCAGACATGAAATGTGAAACATCAATAAATACACTATAGTGAATTGTATCATCATTTGTTAGAGTGAGAGGAGGACACAAAATATCTCTAATATCTTGCAAGTGATACTTTTCCAAGTAGGCAATCATCACACGTTCAATATCATTCTCCGATTTATCACCAATATTAAAAGCACACCACTGATTAGTACTATTCGATGATCCTACACTACCACCACCCGAAGATGATCCATTACTGCTTCGGTTAGCAAAATTTAATCGCTCCCGAACAATTAAACTCTCATTTCCTGCATTATCGTTTTCATCAGCATCGTCGTCATCATCATAATTAATATTCCTCTTCTTTGGTGGCATTTTTTTTCTTTTAAAAATTGGAAAATTAAAACGCAAGACTTTAACAGTGAGGACTTATTTGTTGTAAAAGTTCGCTATTTTTAACAAGAAAGCCTCGAGGCTTGGAATTTACAGTGTAAACATTGATGAATAAAAATGGCGCCAAATGATTCGTTCGAATCATACTACTAGTTTGATATTAGAAGAAAATTTGTGAACGAACAAAAAACTCAAGTAAAATTGAACAAGATCCATTTGACGCATTCCTTTCTATTTATTCGTTCTGTCATGTCATTTTTGAAGGCAGCCGTTACCAATCAACAAAGTCACTTGTCAAATTTTCAACAGAAGAAAAAAATGACATCAAGGTAACGTATTATTCTAATGTTATCACAAAACTAAACATTATAAACTTATTCGAAACCATTAGAAACTTGTCATTTAAACTATTAATTGTACTACTTTGCAGTATACTTATTGCAAATTCCATCTATTGTAAATCCTACAATCCATTTACTAAACCGCGTGCTAAAAGATTATCATCTCTTCCATCAACAGTTTCAGGACGTAAAGTTTATGGATTTGGTTCAAATGCTGCTGGTCAATTAGGACAAGAAAATTACTACATTCCACAAGCTATTGATACTTTCAAAGGAAAGAATGTTTCTTTTGTTTGCGCTCAACAAGATGATTCTGGTTCAAATGTTAGAGTTTTCTTTGTTGTATCCGAAACTACAGGAGAAAGTAAATTATATGGAATGGGTTCAAGTACAAACACACTCTCATCAACTGTTAATTATTTATTAGGTATGTTTGTTGTTATTAGAATGTAATAATAATTGATGAAAATTTGCAACAAATTGTGTAATATCACATTCACTCACTCACATACGTATATTATTATTATTATTTGTGATTATTTAAAATTGTGTGATTATAATTGTGATGAATATAATGATTATTTTTGAATGATAATACTAATAATAATAATTTAGGTTTGAATACTACTTCTAGTTTCACAGTTCCACAATTGATTGCTTCCTACAGTGTTGGTATTAAATCATTGGCCTGTGGTACTGAACATGTTATCTATCTTTTGAATAATGGAAATTCGGATCTTTATGGTTTTGGTAATAGTATGTAATCTATTTTATATGATCATTTGTTAACATATCATTTTCAAATATTTGATTGCATTTGAAAACTTGACATTTATTGTGTTAAAATTATTATTTATGTATCCATGAATTTAAATAGACAATTATCAACAACTTGGTAAAGGTTTTGATTATTTGGTTGCTCCAACTAATCTCACAATTATGGATAGTGTGCCAACTCTCAAATTAGCCAAAGTATTTGCATTTGGATATTCTTCATTTGGTATTCAAATTAGTACTAATTTATTATATGGATGGGGTGATAATGCATTCCAAAAGATGGGTATTACTGATTATATTGTTCAAGCTCCAACACTTTTAGGTACTTCCTATTATACTACAGTTCAAAAAGTTGTTGGTTATTCTCGTTCCATGTTTGTTTTGACAACTGATGGTAAACTCTTTGCTGGTGGTTCAAATGATGAAGGTGTTTTGGGTATTAATGGTACTTCTATCACTCAACAAGCTACTCCAGTTCAAGTTCAATTGAATGGTGAAACTGTTTTAGATATTTCAGTTTACAAATTGGGTGCTTTGGCTTCAACTAATCAAAACAAGGTATATTTCTGGGGTAAGAATGATATGGCTTCATTCTGTACTTCAACTACTAGCTCATATTATCCAGTTCAAGTTTCATCTGCTTTATTCTCACCTTCTTTATCTACAACTATTACTCAAATTACCACTGCTTATCAACATTCTGTTTTATTGACATCTTCTGGTGATGTTTATGTTTGTGGTGACAATTCTGAAGGTCAATTGGGTTTAAATCCATGGTCTTCTTCAGTTACTGGAGCTGTTAAGAGTTCAACAACTGTTCCAAGTGGAAAAACTGCCTCATACATTTTAGCAGTTTCCTCAAAGAATACTTTCGTATTAACTACTGATAATGGTGTTTATAGTATGGGTAAGATTTCCACAACTGGTGATCAAGTTTACTATACTTCTCCAACTGTTTTGAGTACCATTGCATCAAATGTTCAATTTGATCATGTTTATGCTAGTAATGGTGTTTCATTTGCTACTGAATATTTGACTGGTAAGACTTGGGCATGGGGTAGTAATAGATCTCCATACAATTTCTTAAATCCAAACATTTATATTGATCAACAAGTTCCACGTGCTATTCCTGAATTGAATTCTTACAATGTTACTGGTATTTCAATTGGTTATGGTACTTATTCATCAAAAGTACAAACAACTGTCTTTTTCATGACCAATGTTTCAACTCTCGTTCTTGCCATGGGTAGTAACTCAAATGGTCAAATGGGTCTTGGTACTGGAACATCAACTTCAAACGTTACACTCATTCCACGTACTATTCAATATGAAAACGGTACCATTGTCATTGAATCAGTTTCATGTGGTGCCATTCACACAATTATGAAAGCTAGAAGAACTACAGCAACTACCATGTCACTTTTCGTTATGGGTGGTAACAGTAGAGGTCAAATTGCTAACGTTGAAAAGGAAGCTCCAATTCGTTTGTCAACCAATACTGTCGTTATGGCTGCTGCTGGTCCATTCCATTCAACTTATGTTTCATATGAATCAAAGGGTGGTTCTGGTACTACAAGAACTTATTTCAATAGAGTTTATGGTACTGGTGATAGTACTTATGGTCAATTAGGTTTCGGTGCTTTGACTGCTAGTTCAAGTTTCCGTGAAATTGGTAATGTGAATAGTAATTCTAACAGTAATTCTGTTGGTACATTTACAAACATTACAACAATTACTAACATTATTACAAGTGCTGACTCTACATTTATTGTAACAAGTGTTGGTGTTTATGTTGTTGGTGATAATACTTATGGTCAATTGGGTTTAGATCCAAATCTCAATGGTTCTAGAATTACTACACCAGTTTTGAATCCAAGTATTCCAATTACTGCTGTCAAGATTGTTATTTCTCAACCTGATGGTTATTATGCTGGTTTCTTAACAGCTAGTGGTGCAGTTTACATGTTTGGTTTGAATGATAAGGGTCAATTGGGTTTAGGTCATCAAAATAATGTTTATACTCCAACTAAGGTTCCAATTCCAAATGGAGAACTTGCCATTGATGTTGCTTTAGGTACAGAACATTCATTAATCATTACAGGTACTAAACCATGTCCTGGAGATTGTAACTATAAGGGTACTTGTGATCCAGTTACAGGTTTCTGTACATGTGAAGATTCATTCACTGGATTTGATTGTGATTTGTACAATTGTGTTGATCCAAAATGTAATGGTCATGGTACTTGTGATACTTCAATTGGTATTTGTACTTGTGATGATTCTTACTCTGGTGTCAGTTGTGAACGTAGAAAATGTCCAAATGATTGTAATGGTAATGGATTATGTTCAAGTGAAGGTGTTTGTCAATGTTTCACTGGTTACACTCAAAAGATTGATTGTGCTACTCCAGATGCTGGTTTGAAATCTTTTGATGCCAAGTCAATTGTCACTTTAATTCTTATTGCATTATCTGTTGTTTTATTATTTACAAATAGAAATTAATAGTATACTACATACCAGTGTATTATGAATATGGAATAGATTTATTCATTTTTGTATCCCTTTTTTATATATTTAAGAAATTTAGAATATTATTGTATCATCATTAAAAATTATAGTTTAATTCAAAATGATTATAGAGTGTTTATTTTTTGCTAGGAGAATGAATATTTAGCGGACTAGAGTAGAGAGATAATTAATTTTATTCGCTTTGAACAATGGAAAGTAATATTCGAAATGGTACAAATTCAAAGAGTGCACTTGTTGATATTTTTGTAAAGCAAACGTTAATGGAAAGTAGAACAACTTTTAATGAGTGCATGTATTAAATAGTAAACTTTACAATCACCTCATTGTAAACTATTACAAAAAACCAAGTCAAAGCTAGTAAAATCTGCGTTTTCGGTGCAAGAGATTCACGACAAACCAACATGGATGTGCATATCCATTGATGCTTCTATTCAACCTTATTTGAAAAACCTCTTGTTTCGTTGCCGGTCTTAATATAGAAGGTAAGTTATAAAAATTGTATGAAGGATGTTCGAAACCTCAATTGTACATATTACCGGTTGTTTCAGTTTTTGAATTTAAAGGATCACTGCTCTCTTGTTCATCCTCTTCAACAAATAACAACAAAAAAAACTAACTATTCGAAATGTCTTCCACTCAAACTATTGTCATGATGATGCTCTTGGCCTGCATCATGTTCTTCTTTGCCTCTCCAATTAACGCTCAATATCACGAATCTGAAGTTTATGCTGGTGCTCCTGAACAAGGTTTCGCTGCTATCTTGTTGATTGCTATCTTGGCTGTCTTTGGTTTCGTTTTCTAAATGGACGAAAGTTGCTTGTAAATTGAAATGTATCATTAATAATAAACATATTGTTTATTTAGATGGAGACAATACATCTTCATCATATGTAAATAATTGAATTTGTTATTATTATTTTATTGGATAATCTTGTTATTGAACGAATGTCGGTTATTCAACTAGCTCCGTTATTATTTCATGACAATATTTTCAACTCCAACCAACACTCCATAGCGAATTTGTGTTGGAGTATGGTATTGATAGATGTATTTGGATAGAAGTCAAATCCTTAAAATCAAATACATTCTTTCCTATTAAACTAAATCATGATAGTAGTAAATAGGATGACAAATTTAAATTGAATGGAAAATTATATGTAAAGGTGTTAATTGTATATTTCGCTAGTTTATTGGTAATAGAAACACGCACCAGTGAATGGAAAATTCAATTTCACTTGACTATTTCTTTAGAAATTATTAAAGAAGGAATATAGAATGGATAATGATAGATTGGCTGTGTCAATAGAGAACGATGATGACCAAGTTGTTCTTTGAAGTGGATATTGTTGAAAGAATTATGAATTGAAAGAAATTGTAACCTTGTCAGTGTGAAATTAGACTCAATACTGGTTTTGGTTTTATTGGAATATTTGAATTCTGTGATTGGCAGAATCACCAAATCAAAAAGTGTCCATGTTTATAATCAATACATGATCCACATGGAACATATAATTGATCATTTCCAGGACCACTTCCTTTATCCTTAGCATATTTAAAAACCATCTCAAAATCAGCTCCATAAACTTCCAATTCATGTTCGTATGGTTCTGAACGAATTGACCAACCTTTAAATTTATCTGTTGTGATTGAAAATTGGAAATTAACAAATGATCCGCTAGTTTTTTTATCAACTTGTTCTGGTTTAGTTTCCTTTCCATTGTTAATATCAGAAATGAATTGTGAAATGTTTGAAAATTTCAACACTTGTTGATTTGAATGATCACCCAAGACCCATAAAGTTTCTTCTCCACTTTCACTTTCTTTCAATTCTAAACAGTATGGTTTCACTTGAGGAGTTTTGATGGTTGTGAAATATTTCCAAATTAATGAATAATCTTCAATAAAAACTTGCAATCTTTCATTTTCTTTATCTGCAACAATTAAATATCTATCTCTTGTAATGATCACATCGTCTGGTCTATTAAATTCATCGTGTCCATTTCCTTCATGTCCAGTTTTTCCGATGGTTGCAACATAATCAAATTTAAAGGAAAATCCCTTTTCCATTGGTTTGTCCAATAATCTTTCACTGTGGCTTTGTTGTTCAATGAGAACTTCATCGATGGTTTTTTGTGGATTCTCATCAATCAAAGTAAAGGTTGGTGAAGACATTTTTTTTATTGGAATTGAATTATAAACATCAAAGGAATTAGTTGATTATTTCTCTTTGGAGGAACTTGGCTGTAACTTGGGTTGACCTATACAACCTCATTTCAAAATGTAAAGTTCAATAAACTATTAACAAATCAAACATAATATTGGATCTGAATGACTGTTTCGACCTAGTATTTGAATATTAATCTAATTTAAATATTAACAATAACAACAAGTCAATTAACAAAATAGGACCCCACAATTGTTCTGAGCAAGAATCAGTAGTTTCGTATGGTGGTTTTTGAATGCTATCTTCAATTGTTTTCGAAGAATTTCATCTTGTTGTGGAGGTATTTCTGAACCTTTTCTTTCAATAAATGAAATGTAAAATCGCTTTAGTCCTATTTCTTTCAACAAGATTCATTTCAGTAGTTATGGGTAATAACTTTTCACTCTTCTATATCTGGAGACCAACATGTTAAGTGCTTTCAAATCTTTTCAAGGAGCAAGAAATAATCAAAGGTTGTTGTTCAAAATGGTGCTTTCACTATTCAAATAAATGATTTGACTCCCTTTTCAATTTGCTTACAGATAATGAGATGGAATTCACTAATTTCGATTTAATATAGTATACAACTCCTAAAATGAGAGAAAAGGAGCTGAACTCTATGCCAAATAGCCATCAAAGAAAAAGACTGTTCTTGTGCTTAATAAACACCACTTCCTGGTGCTTATTTGTTCTTGAAGATAAAATATTAAACCGAATACTAAAAAACAAATGACGACAGAAGTCCCCCTTAGCTCAGTCGGTAGAGCGTCAGACTGTTAATCTGCAGGTCGGTGGTTCGAGCCCACCAGGGGGAGTTGAAGTTTTGTTCCTGACATTTAGAACCTAATATTTTGCCGAGAAGAATGTTCTAAACTTTGAAGAATTAAGCTGAATATTCATCACTTATAAATATTTCTATTAAATTCTTGACTCGGATGATTAATCACAAAGAATTGTGCTATTCTTCTCCTTTAAAAGGTGGAAAACAAATTTTCTAATAACCAATCGAAAAAAAATGTTTCATTTTGCCACCACCAAAAAAACTTACACTGTGGAGCCCAAACAAATTAATATTGATGTTGATGATAAGATTATTGTCCTCTCAGTTTATGCTCCATCCTTGAAGGGCTACGCAGTACCCACCACACAAACCTATCAAATTTCCATTCCGAATGATATTGTGATCAAGAAGGCTATTGTCTCTCAAAGCAATTTATTTGTGATTGATAGTGAGGGAAAATTGTACAAATGCAAATATAGTGAATCTTATTCAATATTGAAATTGGTTGATACAATTAATGATTCAGTGTTGGACATTGTTGGTACAAATACACATTTATTTCTCTTGGGAAAATCAAAAGTTTATGGAATGGGTGTTAGTATTAATATAGTATTAATATAATTTAATTTAATTTACTTTATTAGAAAAATGATTATGGTCAATTGGGATTGGGACATTTGGATACAGTGCATGATTTTGTTCCATTGAATTTCTTTGATAGAATCAATATAAATAGCAAAAAGTATAAGGACAAGGTTGTAAAGATTGCATGTGGAGATGCCTTCACTTTATTCTTTACCAATACTAAAAAGATTTACACTTGTGGTAGTAATTATTATGGACAACAGACGTTTGAAAACGATTCGGTCTATCTTTCTACACCTCAGAGAATTACTGAGCTTAAGGAAAACATAGTTGATGTTTATTGTGGCAGATCATACTCTTTATTTAAATTGAGTGATGGATCATATGTTGCTTATGGCCAATTTTTAGGGGAAACACCATTGCGAAACACTAAAGTTATTCCAACTCTACAACAGTTTGATAGGTATGTTATTAATATTGATAATATTCTATATATATTATTTGCCTAGTATTGAGGCTGTTTATTGCTTACCTAAAAAAATTGTTTTCACCACCAAGTTCACTAAAACAATCACAGAGGCAACAGATATAGTACTCAAATTGAATACCAAAACAATGATTCAGAGGATGTACTCTTATTTTGCAATGAAAAAACCACCAATAATATGCACATTCAAACCACAGATGGTATGAATACAGTCATGGTAGAAAATACCAGTGTGAACGAACCAGTTTTAATTGTTAATTTTGGAACTGATTCAAATGCTAGAGTTAATTTCAATGACGATGAATTAATATTTTACAAATCAGATTACTCACCACACCAAGTTGAAAAATCAATTTATCAACTTGTTTCAGAAAAGGCCAAACAATTCAAATTATCCTCTGATACAATTCAAATTGGTAATTCGAATAACATTTACACATTCCTTGCATTTATCCAAATTAGAAATCCTTCATTTTATACATTCCTCAAACAAGATAACTTAGTTAATTCTGAAAATTCACCAAATATTCTTCAAGATTTGGTTGATTATTGTTTCTCAGAAAATTGCTCATTTATGAAGAAATATTCAACCTCAATGATTGCAGAGCTATTATACTATCTTGAAAGGATGTGTGTAGATTTTAATGATTTTACAGCCCCACTAATGTATTTGAGTTTAGTTCACATTTCAAAATGTATAGGTTTTGAGCCAATTGCTGACAAATTCATAAAGATGTTGAAACAGGAAGGAATAGATCCAAAGATATTAGGGAAGGATTTATCGACATTTATGAAAAATGGGAACTTTGCTACTTTACCAACCACTCATTCATGTCTAGAAAGTCTATTTAATTCTGATTCATCAGATACTACCATCATTATAGATCAGTTTGGCACTGAAAAGATCAAATGTCATAGAAGTGTCTTAATTGCACAAAGTACATTTTTTGAAGCTTTTTACACTGGTCATTTTGCTTCTGATGAAATTAATCTCTTCAATGATGAAGATGTAGCTGATGGTGCATTAATTAATTTTGCAGAAATGAGTGATGAGGAGAAGCAATTGCTTATTGATCCTGAATCTCAAATCAAAACAAGAGCATTGAAAAATATTTTAATGATGTTCTATGGAATTGAGCCTGTTGTAGAGAATGATTTGGTGATTCCAATGTTGGACATTGCTCACAAATTAGATGCAGAACATTTAGTAATGAAATGTTTGAAAATGTTCGAAACAAGTTTGGATGAAGAAAGTTTACAAGTTATTAATCAATGGTTATCAGGAGTTGAAGACAAAACTGATGTACAAAATATGATTTTAAAGAGTGCAGATAATTGGTCCAATGAAATCTCACAAAGAAATATCCTTTTCCAAAATCCAGAATTGGAAAATGAATTGACCAAAGATATTGGAATATTAACACATTATCAAATCAATAAGGAGTTTGTTCCAAATGTTACAACTCACTTTGTGGCAAATCATCTCAACACGGAAGATTACAATTTTCTATGTGCAGTAGCTGGTAATTGTGCCATTGTTAAACCAGAGTATATTCAAAAGAGTATTGAATCTCAATGTTGGATTGACGAAGAACCTTATCTTTTCAATAAGTGTGCACATGAATTCGACTCTAAAGTTCAAACTCTACTAAAGGTAAATCAGAATCATAAGGCGTTGAAAACATTTGTTTTCTCTCACATGACTGGACAAGTTCTATTGAGGAAGCACACTAAGAGCAGAGTTGAATGTTTAATAAGGAGTGGAGGTGGAAAAATTGATAATTTCTATGCCAACTTAGTGCTTATTAATAAGAATACATTTTCCAAACACAAAAAGATTGGTGCTAAATGTGAAAACTGTGTTGTAGTTGATTATCGTAATTTGGTTGATATTTTGATGGGAGAGAACCCAGCCAAACATGAAATCCATAGTATTCATCAAGTTGCTATTGCCAATGCTGAAAAGAAGAAACGTAAGAGAGATCCAAATGAAATCATTGAAATTGATTAGTTTACAATTTCATTGTTGATTTTTACATATTATTCCACTAAGATTTTGAATACTATGTGAATGGAATTCATCTCCAATCTTTTATTTACATCTATTATTAAAGTAAAATACATGATTTCTTTTCCTTTTGTGTTGTAGTTGGTTGTGGTGGTTTGGTTTTTTCCAAATCTCTCAAAACAAATTTGACTAACTTTTGAAATGCTTCATCGACATTTGTTCTTGTTTTTGCACTTGTTTCAATAAATTCAATTTTCCATTTACTGCAAAGTTCCTCAGATTGTTGTTTCGAAACTGTTCTCTTTTCAGGTGGAAGCTAAAGTTTACAATTATTATTAAATATGTATTATTAAATAGTTGATGAGATTAGATTGAGGATAAAATGTAATAAAAAATATCATCATCATCACCCAACAAACAATAATTAACTTACATCAATCTTATTTCCAACAAGTACAATTGGTGGATAATCACAATCTTTACTTCTGACAATTTGTTTGTGGAATTCATTCAAATCTTCAAATGTTTTTGGTTTTGAAATATCAAAAACCAATAAAAATCCATCAGCAGTTCTCATATATTCATCTCTTAATGCCTTTTAAATAATTTACATAATTTAAATATTTTTTGTAAAGTATTACAATTAATAATAGTTGAATGATATTAATAATAACTTGATCATCATGACATACCTTGTATTCTATCAAATGATCAAAAAAAATATTAAAATTCCTCCGATATATTTAAAATACTACTATTAAACATACCATCTTTAACAAAATTGTAAAAATTGTAAAGAATAAAAAAACAAACCTTGTCCGGCTGTGTCCAATATATCTAATTGTACTACATCATTATTAATTTTAAGTGTTTTTTGATAACTGTCCTCAATTGTAGGATCCCATCTATTCACCTGTCAAAATGTCAATTAAATTAATTTTTACTTACGCTTCAACAAATTGATTTTGTACAAATTGAATAGTTAAACATGATTTACCAACAGCACCTGAACCGCAAACAGCAACTTTAATATTTTGCACCATGGTGATGAGTCTGTCAATTGTCAAATGACGGAATTTTTTTTTAACGGCTGTTTGCTAAATTTTTCACCTTTCAAATGTTTTTATTTGACAAAAGAGCAACAGAAAGTTCCATTGAAATTAGTACCATATTCCAAACATTTATTTAAATTAAATTATTAATAATTAAAATTGTTTACAATTTTATTTAATTATTTACAATAAATTACAATATTTATTTAAATTTCACATTTAATTGTTGTAATTACCATTTAAATAATAACTAAACTTTTAAACACAATTAAATATTAAATTTTGCATTAAAATCTCAACTTGAAATCCATTTTAATTACATTTTAATAAATTTTAAAAAAAATGAATAGAAGACCACCTGGACTTTTCATCTTACCTGCCGTAGCTGGTCTTTTAACAACCATTTATGCTTGGCAACCACAAATTGATGAAAAGATGGCAGAAGAAAAAAAGGCTAAGAAGGAGGCTGAAATTGCCAAAGCAAAAGAAGCAAGAGCAAGAAGAAGAGCCATTCCGAGCACTAGAAATAATGAAGCAAATAATAATATTGTACAACAAGAACAACTTCAGGATGCTGTAACCTCAGAGGAAAAGAAGGAATAATTATTTTGAATTGTTGTCGTGATGGTACATGTGTGAATCAATCTTTGGAGTTTTTTTGGATGTAGCAATCAAATAGGAAACATGTTAAATCTTGTGAAACAACAAAATCTTATTCGATCATTATTACCACATCTGAGATGGTTATTTAAAATTGGTTCAAATTTTCAATAATTGTTATTTTGATAGCAGAGAGATACAAGTTGAATAAACCAATTTCTTCTTGTGTTCAATCGCATTGATGATATCCAATTCAAAGCAAGAGTTCACTGTAATCTTGATAAGTCCATTATAATAATTTCAATACCTCACGACAATCAAAGTTATTCAATAAGAAGAAAATCTTATTGAATTGTGCTTAAGAATGCAAAAACAGCAAAAAGTACAAATTAGAGTCTAACCAATTTTGGCGGGAAGCCACGTAATGCTTTTGAGAGAGCGAGAGTTCCGAGAAGACAAATATCGGAATTTGTGTTGCACTTTTTGTTTATTGACTTTGAATTGTGTTGTTATTGGTGGGAGATTATCAGAAGAAGGACCAGCTTGTAGATTTTCAATGGAGAGAGCCTTAATTGATAAGGAATGAAGTATATGGTTGGTTCAGTTAAATTGTTGTAATTTTAATTGATATATTATGACAAATTGTAAGAATAATGGATTGTTTCAGCAGTGCTTGATTTGTTTAATCATCTCTTAATTTACGACCGTACTTGGAGATAAATTTAGGTTCAGCTTGTTGCTTGCCGTCTTTTTACTTCAAGACTGTGACGAGTGTTTACAATCGATTTTTGCTCAACCGCTATTGGCTCGCTCGCAATACAAAAGATAGCTTCTTTTAAAACAAAAAAAAATAAACAAAATCCCTGAAGGTAACTATTAAAGACTATTGTATTCATACTCATCTTCACACCGCTGTACCGTACCTACTTTATACAATTATACAATTTATAAAAACTTAGATCAAAATGAGCGAAACTGAAACCAGAGAAGATAATGTTTTCATGGCCAAGCTTGCTGAACAAGCTGAAAGATATGATGGTGAGTATTATACAACAACAAAAAATTTTAATATGATGGTAAATAATAGAAATGGTCCAAAGCATGAAGAGAGTCGCCCAATTGGATGTTGAATTGACTGTTGAGGAAAGAAATCTCTTGTCTGTCGCATACAAAAACGTTATTGGTTCCAGACGTGCTTCATGGAGAATTATCAACTCTATTGAACAAAAGGAAGAAAGCAAGGGAAATTTACATCACGTTGAAAAGATCAAGAAATACAGAACAAAGGTTGAACGTGAATTAACTGACATCTGTAATGATATTTTGGAAATCTTGGACCAACACTTGATTCCATCAAGCCAATCTGATGAATCTAAAGTCTTCCACTACAAGATGAAGGGTGACTACCACAGATATCTTGCTGAATTCACTACAGGTGATTCTAGAAAGGAAGCTGCTAACAACTCCTTGGATTCTTACAACACTGCCACCAAGGTTGCCAAGGAACTCCCAACTACCCATCCAATCAGATTGGGTTTGGCCCTTAACTTCTCTGTTTTCTACTATGAAATTTTGAACTCACCTCAAAGCGCTTGCCAATTGGCCAAGAAGGCTTTCGATGATGCTATCGCTGAATTGGACAGTCTTACTGAAGAATCCTACAAGGATTCTACACTCATTCTTCAATTGTTGAGAGACAACTTGACTTTGTGGACATCTGATATGCAAGAAGAAAAGAATGATGGAACTAAAGTTGAAGATGCTGAGGATGACGAGCAATAAATTCATTAGAATGTAACATACCGTTTAATCACGTTTCCTAACTCTATTACTATCCATATCTATTGCTAAGCAACAATATTTTAACTCACCCGATTATAAGTGAACCGGGTGTAAAATAAAATAATAACGCAAACTCATCATTATTAGACGATTATTAATCATTCAATATTGAATCTCTTTAATAACTTTACAAACAATTAATTTTATAATACATTAAAGTGTTGTGGTTTAATTCTTCTTTCTATGGGCTAAAGCAGCAAAACCACCTTCTTGAGGTTGAGATTGTTGTTTAGAAACGCCGAAAGGATCATTCGGATCGATTTGATCTGATGAGGATGAATAAGGGTTATATCCAACATTTGGATACATGGTGTTGTTGTTTGGTTGTTGAGGCTGTTGTTGTGGAGCATTGAGTCTTGAAAATTCTCTTTCCATTGTATCAGCATATGGATTATTACTATATTCATATGAAGGTGGTGGATTATTGAATTGTTGTTGTTGATTTGGATTGTAGTGAGTTGGTTGTTGTTGAGCATAACTGTTTTGAGGAATGGATGGTTGTGGTTGGGATGGTTGAACTGGAAGTCCTAAAAAGTCGTCCAATGATAATGGTGTCCTTTGATTTGAGTTAACATTAGGATTGACAACAGGAGTAGGATTAGATTGTGGTTGAATAGGAGTACTATTTGTTCCAAGAAAATCATCCAATGATAATGCTCCATTATTTGGTTTGGTTGGTGGATTTCTATTTACATTTGGTTGATTATTTCTATTTGCTAATGCTCCAAATCCTTGAGAAACTTGAGGAGAAAGAGGAGGTGCAGATGAATTATTACCAGTTGTTGGACTAGCAAGCTTAACTGCTTCCTTTTGGCCAGATGTCATGAATTTATCATATCTTTGTGTTGAATTGTTTAAATTTTCATGAACTTCCAATAATTTTAAAAGAACTTGTTCCTCTGGAATCATTTCAATAAGTCCAATAATTCTTCTACTCATTTCTTCACAATTAGCTCTTAATTGAGCTGCAGTATCATCTTGTCTTAATTCGCCAGGAGATGAAGAAGCAGTAACCAATTCATTCAATAAAGCAACATTTTCTCTAACGACATTCAAATCATTATCCATCTTTTCTTGATAGGTTGCAAGTTTTCTAGTAGTTGAACGTTTTGTATTGGTCGAAAGTGGTTGAGAAACTGGCATTGGTTGAGGAACTGTTCTTGGTTGACTCACAGGGGGTGATTGTTGTTGAATAGTTTGTGATGCTTGTGGAATTTGATTTTCATTCATAACTTCAGTTGCTTTTTGTCTAACTTGTTGATCACTTGATCTAGTTGATAAATTATTAATAATTGTAAGAAAATCAGATCTTAGGAATTGTTGTTTAACAAAATCACTAGTATTCTTCATGAGAGCATCTGCAAGAGTTAATGAATATAAAACAGTTGCACTGTTTGTATCTCGAAGACGACCATTAAGCAAAGGAAGAATTAATTTTGTATTTTCATCAGGATTTTGACATAATAAATCAGATAATTGCATTATTGAATCCCAATCATCAGTCGGATTTTTAGAATCAGTTGCTCTATACACTAAACCTTGAAGAGGATTATTACTCATCTTTTTATATTCGGAAAAGTTTTTAATTTACAAATTGTGATGATCTAAAGATGATACTTTTTGTTTGATTATGAATCTAGATATGTGTGTGTTTGATTTACTATACAACCAATATATCAATGATGTACAATATTAGGAGGTTGGTTAAAGTAATTAATACAAAATGGAGGGAATGCTTTTGTGATGTTTTTTTTGTTGTTCCTTTTCGCACTCTAGGCTTTTTAATCTCTCCATCACCACAATCAGCTGGTGTTCATTTCCCTTCGCCATTCAATGAGGAGATTGGTTTAAAAATAGGTATTATTCATTAATGTTGGTGGTCAATCCTTTTTGTCCTTCTAATTGAATGGTTTTCTTTATTCTTATTGTAATATTTGATAGAAGATTAATTAGATTTTTCATTGGACATGGAAGCCTTCCTTAATGTTTAGGTTTCCAATTGGAAAGATTAATTGATCAGTCTGAAAAAAATGCAACAAGATGAGGAAAATGTTTTTAAAATGATGATCGGTGTAATGATTCAAAGTGATTTATCAACAGAATTATTTCACTATATAATCTCCTTTCTCGATACAAATTCAATGTTTTCATTAATGCTTTCAAATTCATTTAATTATTTTAATATGAATGAGAATGAATACTTTAAAACACTCCGATTTATTAAATTCATGATTGAACCTGAATTAGCCTTTCCATTGACAAGTGGTAAGATTTTACAAATTCACGATTTACCATCAAGTGGAAATGAACAAATATTAAATCAATGTATTAATTATTATATGAAAAGAGTTAAATATTTGGGAGGGAGAGAAGTTTCGTTTAGAAAATGTAAAGAATTAATTCAATTTAAAGGAACAATGATGACACACAAAGAACAACATGATGATAGTTGTGATGATAATAGATTAAATGGATTTCATAGAATTTTATCTAATTTAATGTCAAGATTTAAATGGTTTAGTGATATTGAAAGAAGGGATTTAAATAGTGCTTGGTATGAATTTTGTAAATTGGAATATTTGAATTGGGTTGAAATTTCAAAAGAATTGCAAAGTGCTGCTTCAAACCCAAAACTAATTTTACAAAACTTAAATGTTGAGAAAATATCAAATTTAATGTTAAAATCTGCAACTTATCCTCATGGAATTAAAGAGTTGGATATGTTGAAAGAGAGATTAACAAATCTAAAACAGTTTTTCAGTAGCACCATTAACAATAATGAACTAGCTCAATTTATGGAAATGTACAATAATAGGAGGGACTTATTTTATTTATTGATACGACTTGGTTTAATACCATTTGATTGTTTGCCAAATTATTTGAAAGATGATTCAGAATTTGTTAGTTATTGCATTAGACATTATGATAATACTAATATTAGAAAAAAATATGGTAAACCGAGAATACCTAATTGGAAAATGTATTATGAGCATGATTTCGTTTCAACAGTTACACTATCTGATAAGTTGGAAAGTGATAAATCACTTATTAGACAAGCTTTTTCAACTGGTTATTTCGAACTTTATTCATCCATCTATCTTTCTTCCTATTTGGGGAAAAATAGAATCAATCCATTCACAAAGGATGAAATTGAGTTCATAACTAGTATTGTATCAATAGTACCTGAAGGCATTTCACTCATTTTGCATCACAATGAACATTATCTTGGATATAATGAGCTCATTGAAATTATTAGAAAGCATCCACATGTATTTGAGAAGTTAGATTCCAAATATTATCATTACGATCAATATACTGAACTTTGTCAATTAGCTGTGAAATCAAGGGGAGAAAACATAATGTACATTATATATCCAATCGATATTTCAAACATAACAATTATGGAAATGTTTAAATTATCCCTCGAAAATATGGAAAATTCTCAAATGGGGTTTAAATTTTTCAAAAAACTTCCACCTCTCCTTCAAAGGAACATTCCGTTCATTAAGCAAAT